CCGTTAAAACCGTGCCGTCTGACGACACCTAATTCTAGAGAGTTGTTGCTGATGAATGGTGACTAGCTTTAGGCACACTCTTAACTCTCTTCGATGGACAAGAAGAAACATGAAAGTCACTACGCTCATATGCGCACAATGTGGGCCCCTTCAAATGTGCAGCATGCAAATCGGTCACCTGTCGACATTCAAGAAGATGTCAACCGACTCCATCTGCAAATTATCCTGTTGCTGGTCCTGGAAAATGTTATCTTGTTGGGAAAGCTGATACGCTGGGATCTCTTGCAGTTGATTCTGATGCTGCTGCGGGTACTGCTGCTGCACTTGAGGTTGAGGATTTTGCAGCTGCTGGTGCTGTGGTGGTATAGGCTGCTGGGGCTGCGGTGTTTGCTGAACTAATGGTGGCTGCGATGACTGCTGCTGCTGCTGTGGGTTTTGCTGGTAGTGCTGATAGTGTTGGTTAGAGGTCTGCAGCTGCTGCTGAGTTTTTTGCTGAAGCGGTTGAGGCTGTTGTTGGTATTGGTTGTATTGACCTTGCTGTTGATACTGAATCTGTTGAAACTCCTGCTGATACTGATTCTGATGCTGTTGCTGTTGCAGCTGGTTCTGCTGCTGGGGCTGTTCTTGTGACTGCTGCTGCTGTTGCTGTTGCTGTTGCTGTTGCTGTTGCTGTTGCTGTTGCTGTTGCTGTTGCTGTTGATGTTGATGTTGATGTTGATGTTGATGTTGATGTTGATGCAGCTGTCCTTGATGCTGCTGGAACTGCTGTGGCTGAAACTGGCGTGCATTAGCAGCATGGACCTGAGGCTGCTGCTGGTAAGTTTCATGAACCTGTCGCGAAACGTCGGCAGGGCTCTGGTACGAAGGGTTGATGGTAAGGGCCAGCTTACCAGGAGCCTCAGATATTGAATGGCTTCGCATCATCCCTCCAGCACGGGAATATCGAGGCTCAGGGACAGAGCTGCATCTCGTGAGAAAGGCAGGACGACTGGTAGAGATACCCGGCACAGGAGTTGAAGCAGGATGACTTAAAGAGTTCGTAACCACAGGAGCTGGAGCGTAGCTCAGGTGATGGCCCACGTGTGACTTGTCAGAATAAGATGAAGCAATCTGTAATGACGCCGACCTCTGGTGGGATTATGCACATGAAACGAAACTCGATAATTGCATTAGCTGAGATGTTGCAACACGTGCCAGGAAATTTGTTGAAGTCTGAGTTTGGTTTGCGATTTACCTGCAACATGTTTGGCAGACGAAGAAGTGGGACTCTTGAACTGCTTCCAGGGGTATCATCATCTCCATCCTTCTCCCATATAGCAGCTCTTGGGGTATGCTGAATCTGGTAATGTCCAGGCTGGAGCTGTCCGCCTGCTGTCCCCTGGTTACCAGACTGCGTAGGTCCGCTGTTCAAACCCACAATGCTCGAGCTGACACCAAGGGATCTGAGTGTTGATGGGGTTCCAGACGTGGTGTTCTCAACGTGCAGTGACTGGCCAGGGTGGAAGGAGGAGGTGAACCGAGTACCAAGGTTGCCACTCAGCTGATACTGCTGAACACGATTGGAAGTGCTGCAGTTCATGCTTTGATTCAAGCCTCCAGAATGAGGCGCAGCCTGCTGGTCTTGAGGTGGGTGTTGCATCCTGTGCTGCTCTTGCTGCACTTGTGGCTGGAAAGTTGTTGGAGTCGTCTGCCACGTTGATGTTGCGGTGGCTCGCCTGAGCAAAACGGAGCAAGATTATGTAAGAAACGGGACGAGAAAGTCGTCATGAAGTACAAAAGGGGTAAGTGGATGTCTTACGAGTTGAGTCCGGTCGATGGCTCCACTTGTGCTGAGCCCATTGGATGAACTGGGGGAGGTAACGTGAGAGGCGGTAGGGCAGATCTTTCTCCTATTTGAGCACTTAATTCGCATCTTGAGTCATTCTTGCGCTCCGAGGCAGAAACGATTGCATGTTCATCGATATGCCGCGTCTGCGTTATAGCACTCTCAGCGATGCTGCTTGTCGCAGCGTTGATTCCGCCTGCTACTTCTGACGCAGGTCCATCGGACGACGCAGCAGCAATGGATGCATTTGAGCCTGCAGTGCAGTTTTCATTCGTCTTCCGCGACCTATGTCTCCCTCTATGCATGTGGCGATCACAATACTTCTGATCTTTGACAGCCTGCAGAAATGATCAGGAAGAATTGAGTCAGGCATGCATGTCAATACTGACGGCGCGGTTGTGGAGCTGAAGTAAGCAAATCCATTATGTACCTCTCGAGAACATCGCCACTTTTTCCCATCAGTACGACGACACCTGTCAGGCTCCAAGTCAAGCCTCATCGGGTGCATCCACTCGCCTGTAAAGAAAGACACGTCATGCGCATGAGCTTTCGGTAAAAAACAGCGTAATTCAGGAGTCAAAATTGAAATTTATAATTACCTCGCTCGCCTTCCCGAGGACCTTTGAAAGTATCAGGGGATGCATTAAGTGACGCGACAAGATCTTGTGGAGGAGAAACACCAGATACGAGATACTTAAATATCAAAGCTTGCTTCTCCAGTTGTTGCCACTGGTTTATTGTGAAAGGGCCTGCGTTAGGATCTGCATGATCAATCAGAAAACAGAAGGTCAGACCTTGGAACGAAAAGAGGACGTACTCGGGACCACGACTTTAGATCACAACAACAAGCCGATGAGAAATCTACCTGCAGACACGGATGAGTCTGGCGAGCAAGCTTGACCATCAGGGCTAATGTTTGTCAGCGGCGGGATTGATGAGAACACAGGGGTTGTGAGAGGTGGAGGCGAAACCGGAGCTCCCAATATGTGTGGAGAGCGGACTTCAGCGATAGGTGAGAGCGCGGGAAGCTTTCGTACAGGCGAGCACCGAAACGAGCTGGAGGTGCCTGGCGTCGTGGGTGTTGAAGAAGGAGAATAGTCTGCAGACAATGGAGAATCGTTGAGCTTCGGGGTTGCCAGTGACTTGTGATGGTCAGAGGTTAGAGCGGTTTGCGGCTGATATGCTATCAGTTGCGGGGAGTTTTGCAGTTTGCCATCGAGCACCGGTTTCAGCTCCATCGACTTGCTTTCAGCGTTGCAGGCAAGTGCAGAGCCGTGGATGTTCTCCCCGGAAACTGCAGGGACTTCACTGGAGACTAACACAGGAAACGTTTGAGAATGAGGGGAAGATTGACTGCACGAAAGGTCCCCGGCTTGGTGCTCAAACTTCTGGTCCGTCTGTTGAACAGGCGCCATCGGAATTCCAGTTACAGGTTGAACGAGTATACTCATTGAGCTCTAGCTCTAGCCACAACCAGACACGGCTCAAGAAACTGGATTTCTGGCGCCTAACCTTGCGGTATAAAGGCAGAGATTCTCACTTGGTTTCCCTAAAGTAGGGTCCTGAATCTCAGAACACGGATTTCAGCAAGCAAGCACGTGAAATATCGCCAGCTGAAACCTTCCACAAATTCACTGGCCTCCCTCAATGTTAGCAGATGCTCCTGTGTGTTCCCATTTTATCTGAGTGGCTGCTGTGCTGGAGTCGTGGTAATGTGCATACTGTACATAAGGGTGCATTCTTGGCTCGTGTCAAACTTCCGGTCAAACTTCGTGTTTTCCGAGACCAGGGGCAAAATTTAGCCGGAAGACCCGAAGTGGGTCTCGGATGACACAAAGCGGGGCCAACTGTGGGCCAGCTTCGTGTCATCCCGGGAAGACCGGAAGTATGACACGAGCCAGGAATGCACCCTAAGACCCAGATTGTGTTTCGCTGGTTTGGTCCCGAACCAAGCAGCTTCTTCCCCTACACATCCAGGGCACACGATAAATCATGTGCCATGGCCTGTTGGCACCAAATTCCCAACATTTGTGCCCCCCAAACCTATCTACAATTGATGCCTGTTTGAGCCCCTCCCGGTTGCCTTGTGAAGGGGGCGCATAAGCTGTAACGAACATTTAGCATAAGTTTCGTCAATTCGCAGCTAGCTAAAAAGGATTCGCAGGTGCTTATAAACAAGATATGTTACCTTATTTGACTTCAGTCTCTTCTGCTTGACCTCGGTCTGTTCGTTACTATTGGTTGATAACCACGCGACGCGCTTATAACGTGGGAGCAACAGGCTGGGGAAACAACCTCGGGTGCAGCGTTTCCATCCGGCGCAAGGCAAATCCGCGTGCACTGGTTGGGCATCAATTGTATATAACCAGCAAGTCGCATGATCTGGTACGGGTTCATGTTACACGAGCCAATCATGCTTCATTGTTTAAAAGTCGCCAGGGTGATTGGACAAATTGTTGACAAGCACATCTGGAACTTGTCAGACCCCTGATCTCCAAGCCTTTTCGTCTGGGCTTGACGAACCATTGAAGCTTAGCTTCGAGATGCGCGTGCCTCATTTTCAGGCTTGATGGTCGCGTGAAATGTGGTTGGTAGTTCTTGAAAAAAATCAAGCGTCCATCCCTCCCTGCACTGTTGGAGCTGCTCGGATGCTAAAAGGCGGAAAGCTAGTGGTTCGACGCCTGGAGCTCAGTTACGCGTCTACCAATCAACGAGTCGTCGAGTTCCTCAGCCAGGAATGCCGACTTCTTTGGCGGGTCCACCCTCCCGCCTCAACTTGACGGAAAAAGTGAACGTCAACTCTGTCCCCAACCCCAAGGTGCCCTCTCTGACAAGCAAATATCTGCCACGAATTGGAGCAAAGCGCACCATTGAGCTCCTCCAATTTTGTCGTACATGTGATTTGAACAAATGGATGGTGCGGGTGTCAGGCGAATGGCATTCACGTGGCTATAGAGTGACGGAAGATTGGTCGAGACAGCTGACTGATATCGGTGACCTCTGACTTGTCACGCAATCTTTGGTGATTGAATTTCGTGGTCAGAATTGATTTCATATAATTGATCTACGGTACTCATCCTCTCCAAAACGTTTGAACTTCTCAAGAAGGCTACCCCTGAAACATACTTACCACTAGCTAACCTTTTGCAAAAAATGGTCAGGCTGCACTATTCCATCACAACGGGTACTCCCTCTGAAGAGCATCCACATCATGGGCATCACAAGCTGGGAGTAGCTCCGCCTTTCCAGCGCAGCTTAATGCGATTCTCAGGTACTGCCACGCATTCTCGGCTGTTGGATTCATCGCAATCGCACGAACATAGAAGCGAGCCGACTCCTCGTACTTGCCTTGGTTGGCATATCCAATGCCCATGTTCGTCCATGCACGAACATAATTCGGCTTCAAATCCAAAGCCTGGAAATTAACAGAATACCCAGGAAAGCATTTTATAGACAAAACAATTCACAATTTTGCCAGCATGTGCCCATCAGCGTGCGAGAACTTGACCATTGCATGCATACATACCTTCTGGTACGCCTCAATTGCTTCAGCGGACTGCGCACTGTTGGCCTGAGTGGCGCCCAGCTTGTTCCAGAGCGAGTAGTCGGAGGGGCGCAGCGCAAGGGCTCTGCGGAAGGAAGCCTTGGCACGGTCGTACTCGTGGGAGAGGTTGAACAGCACACCCAGCACCACCTGGCATGAATGGAGGATGAGGAGAGGGGAAAAAAACGGAAGAAGGTTCAGTTATCTTGCCTTGGCATGACAAAGAAATACAATCGCCAAGGTACAGAGAACACAGCAAGAGCACACGAAAGGCTGCCTTGGCATGACAAAGAAATACAATCGCCAAGGCCTGGAACGTGAGATCTTGACTGAGCATGGCATGGCATTGCATGGCGTGGCATGGCAAGGCCCTCCTGACCTGCAGGTCGGCATCCTCTGGCGCCATGCGAGCTGCCTCTGTGTACAGCTGTACAACCTGCCACACAGAAAGAGAGAGAGACACACATGCACACACACATACGCACGCACACACGCAAGCACGCACGCATGCACACACACACACACACACACACACGCACACGCACACACACACCCAACACACACACACTCAATCAGACAGATATGGGAGGAGAGGCGTAACAGATGCACAAGCGGACGCGAGCGGGATGGTTTGTGAGTCAGGTTGAAAAGGGGATGGCAGGGGGGAACTTGTCAGCAGAGCTGGAAACGTGAGAAAGGACTGCAGAGCCATTGAGCTGACATGAAAGGGAACTGGAGGAAGAGGTGGTGCGAGCAAGAGAGGTGGAGGGGTGGTGCAGCAAAAGAAGAGGCTTGTGGACGTGGTAAGAGCAAGAGAGGTGGATGTTGAAGAGGCGGGGGGAGGCGGATTGGATTTTGGACCGGAGCGCTGAGAGTGGAGAGAGTGCTGAGAGGGGTGAGAGGGGTGAGAGGGGTGAGAGGGGTGAGAGGGGAGGACGCACATCGGAGTGGGACATGGAGGCGGGGCCAGAGGGCGGCAGAGGGAGTGCGGGGAGGCGGATTGGGCTTTATATTGGGAGTGCTGAGAGGGCTGAGACGGCTGAGTGGGGTGAGAGGGGAGGACGCACATCGGAGTGGGACATGGAGGCGGGGCCGGAGGGCGGCACGAGGGACTTGTACTTGGCGTGGTTCTGCAGCCAGCTGCGCAGATGGTACAGCGCCTCCGCCTGCTCCAGCTCTGATGGCGGGGAGGGGGGAGGGGGGAGGGGGGCACAGTGTGGAGGCATGGAGAGGGAGGGGTGCAGGTGTGGGCATGTAGAGCATTCATGTGGTTCTGCAGCCAGCTGCGCAGGTGGTACAGTGCCTCTGCCTGCTCCAGCTCTGATGGCAGGGGGGGGGGGGAAAGACCAGAGGGAGGATGGGGGGCTTGGAGGAAGGGGGGGAGAAAGCAGGGGAGGAGGGGGTGGGAGAAGAGAGTGGGGTGGACATGTTACTTTGCAACCAGCCGCGCAGACTCTGCCTGCAATATTGGGGAAGGGGGAGGGGGGGGGAAAGAGGGGGGGGGGGAAGGGGGGGGGGATGGGGAGAGTAGGAACAGGGGAGGGGGTAGACGAGACAAGGATGAGGAGAAGGAGGATGAGGAGAGTAGTAAGGCGGGTGGTGCTTGATCTACTACAGAGTGAGAACATGAGTGAACGAGGACGCGAGTGTGTGGCAGACACGAGGGAGACTGACCGTTGGTGTGGCTGACGCCCAAGGCGAGCAGTACATCCAGGTTGGTGGGGTCCGCATCTCGAGCACGCGTCATGGCTGCTATGGCCTGAGAGCGATGGTGGGGTGGGGTTGGCATGGGAATGGCACGGGGGCATGGGGATGTGATGGGGATAAGCATGGGGATGTCATGGATAAGCATGGGGATGTCATGGGGATAAGTTAGGTCCCTTGCCCGCCTCCACCTCAAATCTCATTGACAGGTCCCACAGTGAGTGAGCAAACATGAAGAGCCCATGTGCGTGCACATGAGCGGCCTACCTGGCAAAGCACAAGAGCCCCACCTGTCTGTCATCGTCGTTCTCAGCGTGGGAGACGCCCAGCAGGCGCCAGGCCTCGGAGTTGCCCTCGTTGCACAGCACCTCGGCTTCCAGCGCCAGTATCGCCTCGCTCAGTAGCCCTCTGGGGGAGGGGAGGAGGGGAGTGTCGCCCAGGGCACACAGGAGTGCAGGGCAGAGAGAGCAGACTTGAGTGGGCATGGCAATGCATCATGCATGCCTCGGAGTTGCCCTCGTTGTGCAGCACCTCCGCCTCCAACGCCAGTATCGCCTCACTCAGTAGCCCTCTGGGGATGGGGGGGTGGCGGGAAGGGGGGGGTTGCATAGGCACATAACATGCACACAGGAATGCAGAGCAGAGGGAGCAGACTTGAATGGGCGTCACCCTCATTGCGCAGCACCTCCGCCTCCAACGCCAGAATCGCCTCGCTCAGTAGCCCTCCGTGGGAGGGGTGGCGCGTGGCATCGGTCACATGCACATGCACGCACATGCACATGCACGGCATGGGCACACCGGAATGCAGGGCAGAGGGAGCATACTTGAATGGGCATGCCAATACATCATGCACGGGCAAGTCGTCGACCCGGTAGCATCACCAACAGATCTGCCCCTGCTGGAAGGGCTGAGCGTGGCCCACATAAGGGTCTCTGCCTTGACACGTCTCAAAACAGTTTCGAGGTTAGCTTTGATTTGACTGCCCCAACTCACCGGCGGAAGAGGTCTTGCCCGTGCTGGAAGGGCTGGGGGTGCCGGGTGCCCCACGTAGGGGTTCTTGCCTTGACACGTCTCACAACAGTTTCAAGATCGAACTCTGAGACGTCTCACAACAGGTGCTCTTGACTGCGCCCCCCACTCACCGCCTGAAGAGGTCCTGGCCCTGTTGGAACGGCTGAGCTTATATCTACCTTACACCGCAAGCATAGAAAACACTTGAGATGTATCTTCCAGCGTAGCCCCCACTCACATGCGGAAGAGGTCCTGGCCCTGCTGGAAGGGCTGGGGGTGCCCCCACGTAGGGGTTCTTGCCTTGACACGTCTCACAACAAGCGCCCATGAATGAATGCTCCACATTTCCCACTCACCGCCGGAAGAGGTCCTGCCCCTGCTGGAAGGGCTGGGGGTGGCCCACATAGGGGTTCTTGTCGGCAAAGGCGTAGGGCCAGCGGGATGAGGATGACTCCGCCCTCCTCTGCTGCTCGTCGCGCAACTGCTCCTCCACGTACCTGCGGGGGGAGGAGAGGGGGGGGGGAGGTGTGGTGGAGGAGCGAAAGAGGGGGGGGAAGAGGGAGAAAGAGTGAAGGGGAGTGAAGAAATGAACGGAAGGGAATGGGAAGAGGGAGAAAGAGTGGAGGGGAGCGGAGAAATGAACGGAAGGGAATGGGAAGAATGGTGAAAAGTGGCGCGCTGTTCATGTGTGCCGTGCCGTGCATGCGTCCCAAGACGCGCAGTGGGGCCATCGTATCGTATGAAGGAAAGAAGTGTGGCATACCGCTCGTACGACTCGAACCACGCGCTGGGGTCGCCATCCTCCACCACACCCTCGCCCTCCGCGTGTGTGTGCCCGTGCGGGTGTGCATGTGGGTGTGGATGGGGGTGTGCGTGTGCCATGGTGATGAGGCGCAATGGGGATGAGAGCGTGCATACCGCTCGTACGACTCAAGCCATGCGCTGGGGTCGCCATCCTCCACCACACCCTCGCCCTCCGCGTGTGCATGCCCGTGCGGGTGTGCGTGTGCCATCTGCTGCGCAAACTCGTCCGCCCAGTCCCTTGAATCCAGCGACGTTGATGACTCGTTCTGCCATGGCGCACGTGGGTGGGTGGGGGCAGAATGGGAGGTGTGATGTTGCTTCCATGACCTGTGAGTGCACGTGCTCGTGCTGGTGCAGGTCCTGACTCACTCGCTCCTGACTCGCTCGCCCACTGCACGAGCACTCTACCCAGCACCCTCCACCCCTCGCACCACCACGCCCTCCCCATTCACAACGGCTTACCCGGGCAGCGAATTCAGTGGCCCAATCAGCGTCCGCCTTGATGGCATGTGAGTGCACGTGCTCGTGCTGGTGCAGGTTCTCAAACTCGCTCGCCCACTGCTCTGTTGCTGCGGCCGCCGCTGCTTCTGCAGGAGACACCTCCCTCACTCCGCCCTCCTCCGCTATCAGCTCGCCTCGACTCATCTTGGACACAAACTGCAAGAACTTGGATTGCTGGAGGGGAGGTGGTTGGTAACAGGGGAGAAAAGGGGGGGGGGAGGGCGAACGACTGGGAACCAAGCTCCCTATGATATGTCATCAGCTATCAACTATCAGCTCGCCGCGACTCATCTTCGATACAAACTGCAGGAACTTGGATTGCTGGAAGGGGAAAAGGGGGGGGAGAGAGGGGGAAAGGGGAAAGACTGAGAACCAAACTCCCTATGCTATCGGCTATGAGCTCGCCGCGACTCATCTTGGACACAAACTGCTTGAGTTGACTAAAAAACCGCCTGTGCTACTTCTAGAGGCGAGACCTCCCTCACTCCGCCCTCCTTGGCTATCAGCTCGCCGCGACTCATCTTGGACACAAACTGAAGGAACTGGGATTGCTGGGGAGGGGAAGAGAGTCGATGGGAGGGAAGCACAGCCATGGGAACGCACAGCGACGGGGGGTTTGGCACGCCAAATTGCAAAGGCTGGATGTAGAACCAGATGAGCAACAGTCAGAAGGCCGCGAAGACACATAAGGATGCCGTGGGGTCCCATCCCAAACCTACCTGGAACTTGGGGTTGGGGTCCTGGGCGAGTGTGTCCACGATGCGCTGTGTCTGCTGCCTCGCTGCCACCCTCTCCGCCTCGCTGCGTGGGCGAGGGGACGGTGGGCAGAACTCACCTGGAACTTGGGGTTGAAATCCCTAACGCTCATAGCAGGAGGCAGGGGAGAAAAGGGACTACCTGGAACTTGGGGTTGGGGTCCTGGGCGAGTGTGTCCACGATGCGCTGTGTCTGCTGCCTCGCTGCCACCCTCTCTGCCTCGCTGCGTGGACCCCCCGCCCTCGCCTCCTCCCTCACTCGCTGCTGCTGCTGCCAGTCCTGGTCAAGGAAGGGGGATAGAGAGGGACAGGGCAGAGGGGGATGGACGTACGGGAATGTGCATAGGGAGATGGAGGTTAAGAGGCAAGGAGGACGACAGGGGTAGTAGAATGGGGGCAGGGAGATGGGGTTAAGAAATAATGGCAGGGAGATGGCGGAAGGCGAATGGGGGTAGGGGAATGGGGACCGGGAGATGGGATGGCGATAGGAGAGCAAAGAAAACAGGATGGCAAGAAGGAGGACGGCAGGTGCAAGTGTGTGGGAGAGAGAGCTGCACATGAGAGTAGCACCACACACCCACACCCAACCTCCCAACCACACACAGCCGCACACCCCCACCCAACTGCACACCCCCACCCAACCCAACCGCACACCCACACCCTGCCGTCAAGGCTCATCCCCTTTCCCACCTCAGCAAACTCGTCCGCCCACCCCGTGCTGCTGCTCTCTCCCCCCTCCTCCCGCCACCTCTGCTGTTGCTGCGCCTCAAACTCCCCCACCCACCCCCCTGCGCCCCCCACTCCGCCCACACCCGCCACCATCCCCCCACCACCCGCCACCTCCCCCGCATCCTTCCAAAAGTCCTCAAACTCGCGGAACCTGCCCCCCAGCGGGCCAGGCGCGCCCATGAGCGCGCCCTCCGCGCCCCCTGCGCCCTCCCCCAGGTCCTCTATACCCAGGGAGCGCAGCAGCGCGGCCACCTGCGCGGAGGCAAAGCCCTTCCCCTGCGCGCCCGCCCCCCCCTGGTGTGCAAACACGTGGCGAGCGAGGATGGAGGAGCGGTTGCGGATGCGTGCTCGGTCCGCGGGGGAGAGGTGCGCGAGGGGGGGGAGGGGCGCGTGGGGGTGCGCGGGGAGGGGCACGCCTGCTTGTGTGGAGGAGAGGAAGGAGTGCAGCAGGGCGCGCACCGCCAGTTGCTGCTGGGGGGGCAGCCCGGGGACTGGCGGGGGGATTGGGGATGCGGGATGGGGATGCGAGATGGGGGGATGCGCGATGGCGGATGGGGGATGTGGAGAATGGGGGGACATGGGGGAATGAAGGAAATCAGGAACAGCTACGAGGGTGGAGAGGGTGGGAAGAGGAGGAGAGTGGAAGGCATCGCACAGGGGAGGAGGAAGAAACCCCAACTATAGGTTTCACAACCAAACTGAAAGGCACGAGCGCAAGATGGCATGCACTTCAGGACTTAACACATCCAATCCCTCAGAAAATTCCCCAAAGGTGTCTTACTTGCAGGTGGCTGCATGGCAGCATCGCCAGTGGCAGCAGCAGCACCCCCATCGAGAGACATGCCGCCAAAGATCTGCTCAAACTCCCGGAAATCACTCACTTGCAGGCGGCTGCATGGTAGCATCGCCACTGGCAGCAGCAGCAACGCCACCATCCAGCGACATGCCTCCAAAGATCTGCTCAAACTCGTGGAAATCACTCACTTGCAGGCGGCTGCATGGTGGAGGCATCACCGCTAGCAGCAGCGCCACCATCAAGTGACATGCCTCCAAAGATCTGCTCAAACTCCCGGAAATGCGCCGCTGCTGCTGCGTCCAGAGGCGCCATGCCTGCTGCCATGCCTGGCGGCATGGCTTGGGCATGCCGAGCCTCGTTCCACAGGGCCTCTAGCTGAGCATCGGGTGGCGCTGCTGCCGGGCCTGCTGCGTGGAAGGACGAGAGAAACTGCTGCGCCTGCCAGGTGGGCGGAGACGGGAGGGGGGAGGGAGGGAGAGAGAAAGGGAGGAAGGAAGGAGGGGTGGAGGAGGTAGGGGTAGAGGGGTTGGCAAAAGAGGGATTGAGGAAGAGTGTTAACGAAGAGAAAACTGCACAGTAGCCACAAAGCGTGCATACTTGCACAGGCTTCACACCACACCATGCGAGCACTCCCTGGTACTCACGCGGCACGCCTAACAATCAATCCACACCACTCCATCCTCACACGTTCAACCCACACGGCATTCTGCCACACTCACTTGCATTGACGGCCCCATGCCCCCCATGGCCCCCATCGGTCCCCCCATGGGTCCACCCATAGCGCTCTGCATGTCGGCGCCTGGCATCGGCATCATGGCCGGTCCCGCTCCTGCTTCCGCCGGACCAAACAGGTTGTTGCCCGAGGCTTGGCCCGGACCTGCGAGGCTCGGCAGCTCGCGAACCCTCTCCTGCCGAGGCGAGCACAGAGAAGGGACACAGAGCATGGCAGGAGGGCAGCGAGCAAGCTTTGACTATGGCGGGAGGGCAGGCCGCAAGCATAGAGCAGGGGGGGAGGACGAGCAGGAGAAATGGATCAAGGAGGCGAGCACGGAAATGCGCGGTAGGCTGGAGACACTCGGTGGAGCTGCTTCACCCGCGTAACGTCACGTCGGATGCCCGGTGTGACGGAGGGGGGAATGGACGCGCGTAGCCACGCGACTCCGTCTTCACGGACCACGCCATAACTGAGTCATCGTGCTCTGCCTAGCTCAACGCCAGGGCCAGTCGTGAGAGTCGCGCGCCGCGAGGCCGCTCGCGAAAACTGAGCGACCCTCTCCTGCGGCTTCGTCGCAACTAGAGCTTCGCCTGACTCCCGCGTGGACGTAGCTTCGATATAAGCCGACTCAAAGCTCGCCAAAGCGTGCGCTCACCTGCTGCTTCGCGGCGGAGCCGAGGATGGAATCCGCAAGCGCGCCGAGCGGGTTGCTGCTAGACGCCGACGGCCGTTCGCCCGGCACAGAGCACCCCCCGCCACCCGTCACCATGCCGCGGATCGACATTCTGCCGCGCAGCACCGTCGGTTTCGTACGGTCGGTTTCGTATAGCGGAGTCCGTACGACCACGTCGGATCGTACAGTCGGTCGGGTACGGTTGGTCTCGTACGACGATGATTTCGCACGACGGGTGACTAAAAGTAGGAGGTTAAAGTCGTACGACGAATCGCACTCGCAGGGCAGGTTGGAGAGTATCAAACTAGGGTTGCGAACAAAGTCGGAACCAACAGCTATTCGCAGTCGCGCACAAGCTTCTCGCAGCGAGTATTACTCTAACCCGCTGAAGGTGGCGAACTGAACTAATCTGCAAGTAACGACTGAGCACCTTCGTTGAGCGGGAGAGTAGGCACGCTACGAAGAAGATTCATGACATGACTCGAGTCATAAAAGATGGTAGTAGGTGGGCATGCCCGGCATAACCAGGGGAAGCTCGAATATTCTAAATACGATGTGCAGTGTAGCAGTAATGGTAACAAAATCTGTCAGATTTAGCTTATACTCTTGCTCAGACCTGTACATCATTCAGTCTTCAATTAGCATCTTCTCAACAAAATCTACTTCTAAACAAGAATGCTTGTTATTATTTTGCTAAAAACTCTCAAAAACTGTTCCGTTTCATCATTTTGGAACACAACCACCCAGCCCTACCAGCCACACTCAATCAGTTCCCACTATTTGTTGCACTCTGCAAAGTTTTCCTGACTTCAGTTCCCACCAACACCACCACCACTCAGGGAGGCTCACACTCCCCTGCCTTGCTCTCCCCTCACTCAGGGAGGCTCACCCTCCTTCCAGTGCACCCCCAACACTCCCCACCACTCCCCACCACTCTCCACCACACCTCCAGAGTGGGGCTGAGAGGAAACCCTGAGAACTGAACCCTCGCCGACGTGGCAAGAGGGGAGCCACACCAGACCCTCGGCCGCAGGGTGTGGTGATCGTCCATTATGCCTTAAACGTGCGGCTATTGGAATCCAGACTCAAGGCCTCCCCCCAAACACCACTCTCCACCCACCACCACCAACCACCACCACCACCACTCTCCACCACTCTCCACCACCACCACCACCACCACCACCACTCTTCCCTCACCAACAACCACCAGCAGTCGCCAATAAGCCTGCTGGGGTGGGGAGGGGAGAGAGTAGAGAAGGCGATTAGTAAGTGACAACTGGAGAGTGAGTCAAGGAGCAACAAGTGCAGCAGGGGCGAAAGCAGCAAGGAGAGCAGCAATTGACAAGGCAAGTAAGAAGTGACGAGCTGAGAGCGAGGAAACGAGTGGCAAAAAGCAGAGGGATGAAGGAGCATGGCAGGAGGGGGGGAGCAGGTAGAGACACTTAGCTGCGGTGCGGTGCAGTGGGATGCAGATGGGTGGAGTTGAAGCGGAATGAAGCACGCGAGTGGGTGCAGCAGCTCCAGTCCTCTCCGCGTGCTGCTTGCTGGGCGCTGGGCGGTGCTCTCTCTGGGTGGCCTGGGGGGCGGGGGAGGGGATGGAGGTGGGGGTGGGAAGGGGATGAGGGCGGGAGTGAGTGAGTGGAAACGGTGGATGCGCATTCAGTGACGTCAGCTGCAAGCTGCAAGCGCGGCAGGCACTCGAGCTACGCACGACCAAGGCTGCTGTGTCGCACACAAGGGGAGGGCTAAAGGGGACCTGAACCTCACACCTTACCATACCAAGGGAAGGGTTAAAGGGGACCTGCATCTCACCTTACCATACCAAGGGGATGACTGGGGGGACCTGCACCTCACCTCACCATACCAAAGGGGGGGGGGCTTGGGTGCGCCACAGACTGACAGATGGATGAGCAATGCGCATGAAGCAGTGAAACAGGGAGCATGCAACATGACCAGCGGAAAAACGGGTGAAGGCGGAGTTACTGGTAAAGAGATACTCATCTGTTACTTGGGTGCTGGATGGTGAAGCCCAGGAGGACCCTCTTCTGCTGCTCCCCTGCTGCTCCCTCTTCTGCTGCTCCCCTGCTGCTCCCTGCTGCTCCCTCTGCTGCTCCCTCTGCTGCTCCCTCTGCTGCTCCCTCTGCTGCTCCCTCTGCTGCCCCCTCTGCTGCTCCCCCTCTGCTGCTCCCTTTGCTGCTCCCTCTGCTGCTCCCTTTGCTGCTCCCCTGCTGCTCCCTCTTCTGCTGCTCCCCTGCTGCTCCCTCTTCTGCTGCTCCCCTGCTGCTCCCTCTTCTGCTGCTCCCCTGCTGCTCCCTGTTGCTCCCCTGCTGCTCCCTGCTGCTCCCCTGCTGCTCCCTGCTGCTCCCCTGCTGCTCCCTCTTCTGCTGCTCCCCTGCTGCTCCCTGCTGCTCCCCTGCTGCTCCCTCTTCTGCTGCTCCCCTGCTGCTCCCTGCTGCTCCCCTGCTGCTCCCTGCTGCTCCCTCTGCTGCTCCCTCTACTGCTCCCTCTGCTGCTCCCTCTGCTGCTCCCTCTGCTGCCCCCTCTGCTGCTCCCCCTCTGCTGCTCCCTTTGCTGCTCCCTCTGCTGCTCCCTTTGCTGCTCCCTCTTCTGCTGCTCCCCTGCTGCTCCCTCTTCTGCTGCTCCCCTGCTGCTCCCTGTTGCTCCCCTGCTGCTCCCTGCTGCTCCCCTGCTGCTCCCTGCTGCTCCCCTGCTGCTCCCTCTTCTGCTGCTCCCCTGCTGCTCCCTGCTGCTCCCCTGCTGCTCCCTCTTCTGCTGCTCCCCTGCTGCTCCCTGCTGCTCCCCTGCTGCTCCCTCTTCTGCTGCTCCCCTGCTGCTCCCTGCTGCTCCCTCTGCTGCTCCCTCTGCTGCTCCCTCTGCTGCTCCCTCTGCTGCTCCCTCTGCTGCTCCCTCTGCTGCTCCCTCTGCTGCCCCCTCTGCTGCTCCCCCTCTGCTGCTCCCTTTTGCTGCTCCCTCTGCTGCTCCCTTTGCTGCTCCCTCTTCTGCTGCTCCCCTGCTGCTCCCTCTTCTGCTGCTCCCCTGCTGCTCCCTCTTCTGCTGCTCCCCTGCTGCTCCCTCTTCTGCTGCTCCCCTGCTGCTCCCTCTTCTGCTGCTCCCTGCTGCTCCCCTGCTGCTCCCTGCTGCTCCCCTGCTGCTCCCTCTTCTGCTCCCTGCTGCTCCCCTGCTGCTCCCTCTTCTGCTGCTCCCCTGGTGCTCCCTCTTCTGCTGCTCCCCTGCTGCTCCCTCTTCTGCTGCTCCCCTGCTGCTCCCTCTTCTGCTGCTCCCCTGCTGCTCCCTCTTCTGCTGCTCCCCTGCTGCTCCCTCTTCTGCTGCTCCCCTGCTGCTCCCTCTTCTGCTGCTCCCCTGTAGCTCCCTCTGCCCCACGTTGCTTTACACCAGCAGGGCACTGAGAGTAAGGGAAGGGAGGGCGAAAGGGAGGGGGAGTTGGGGGATTAGACCAAGGGCAAGTAAGGAAAGTCAGTCGGATCACAAGCAGTCCATTCCAGATGCGAATAAGGGAGGGGAAGCACAGCTGCTGTCGCACACCCAAGGGGAGTGGGGTACCTTTACCTTACCGTACCAGGGGTAAAAGCTTTGTACCTAACAAGGGGGTTACCTGAAGTCTGAACCTTACCCAAAATAAATGAGGGAGGGACTCGGGTGTGCTACAGGCAGCTAGAACGATGAGAGAGCAAAACAGGAAACAAGCGAACGACAAGCGGCAAAACGCTTAAAGGCAAAACAGGGTGGGTGGTGAAACGATACTCATCTTTTTCGTGGTTGCTGGAGAGCCCAAGAGGACCCCCTGCAGCTGCTGCTCCTTCTGGTGCTGCTGCTTCCTCTGCTGCTCCCTCTGCTGCTCCCTCTGCTGCTCCCTCCGCTGCTGCCTCCATGGCTCCCTCTGCTGCTCCGCGCCCCACGCTGCTTGACACCAGCAGGGCACTGAGAGTCAGGGAGGGGAGGGCGAAAGGGAGGGCGGGTTGGGAGATTAGAACCAAGAGCAAGAAACAGGGGTCAGTCGAATCCAAAGCAGTCGAATCCAGATGCAAAGACGGGAGGGGAAGCACAGCTGCTGTCGCACACCCAAGGGGAGTGGGGTACCTTTACCTTACCATACCAGGGGTAAAAGTTTTGCACCTACCAAGGGGGTTACCTGAACCTCTAAGTAAAAAAACAAGAGGGACTTGGGTGTGCTACAGACAGCTAGAGTGACGAGACAGCTAGGAAGAGAAACAGGGAGCATGAGAAATGACCAGCGGAAAAAACGCTTAGAGGCAGAGGGAGGGTGTACGGTGGAGTGATATTCATCTGTTGGTGGGTGTGTGAGAGGCGCTGCAGAGCCCAGAGCGACCCGCTCCGCTGCTGCTCCCTCTGCTGCTCCCTCCGCTGCTCCCTCTGCTGCTCCCTCTGCTGCTCCCTCTGCTGCTCCCTCTGCTGCTCCCTCTGCTGCTCCCTCCGCTGCTCCATCCGCTGCTCCATCCGCGCCCCACGTTGCTTGACGCCAGCAGAGCTCTGAGAGTCAGGGAAGGAGGGGGAGTGGGGGAAAGGGGAGGGGGGGGAGTGGGAGATAAGAACCAAGAGAAAGAACAAGGAGTCAGTCAAGTCCCATCTGCTGGAGGAGAAGATGCAGATGCAAAGACGGGAGGAGAACCAAAGCTGCTGTCGCACACCCAACACAAGTGGGGTACCTTTACCTTACCATACCAGGGGTAAAAGTTTTGTACCTAACAAGGGGGTTACCTGGTGGCTGAACCTTCAGAAAAAGAAGGGGGAGGGACTTGGGTGTGCTCCAGGCGGCTAGCGTGACGAGGCAGTGAAACAGGAAGCAAGCAAAACGACAAGCGGCAAAACGGTCAAAGGCGAAGGCAGGGTGGGCGGTGAAACAACACTTATCTTTTTCTTGGCAGCTGGATGGTGAAGTCCATGAGGACCGTCTGCTGCTGCTCCCTCTGCTGCTCCCTCCGCTGATGCCTCCTCTGATGCCTCTGCTGCTCCCTCTGCGCCCCATGTCGCTTGACGTCAGCAGGACACTGAGAGTCAGGGAGAAAAGGGCGGAAGGGAAGAGGGAGGGGGGGGGGGGGGGGGGAAGGGGGGGTGATTAGAACCAACAGCAAGTAAAGGGAGTCAATCGAATCTTAAGCAGTGTCTTCCAGATGCGAATGCAGGAGGGGAAGCACAGCTGCTGTCGCACACCCAAGACGAGTGGGGTACCTTTACCATACCATACCAGGGGTAAAAGTTTTGTACCTACCAAGGGGATTACCTGAAGTCTGAACCTTAAAAAGAGGGGGAGGGACTTGGGTGTGCTACATGCAGCAAAGCAAGAACGACGAGGGAGCAAAACAGGCAGCAAGCGAAAGGACAAGCAGAAAACGGTCAAGGGCGAAGGCAGGGTGGGTGGTGCAACGATACTCATCTCCCGCTTCACTTGATGGTTGCTGGAGAGCCCATGCCGACCCGCTGCTGCCTCCATTGCTGCCTCCGTTGCTGCCCTTGCCTTCCCTGCCGCCTCCTCGTCCCATGTCCGCCAGGCAAAGCGATGGTCCTTGAAACTTGCAGGCACTGAGAGACAGGGAGGGGAGGGCCGGCGAGCGAGGGGAGGGAGGGTGTTAGCATCAGGAGCAAGGGGGAGTGCGGTCGAGTCACATGCAGTCCAGTCCGAGAGAGACGAGTGCGAGTGACCAGAGGGGAATGGAAGAGGTATAGCTGCTGTCGCACACCCAAGGGGAGTGGGATACCTTCACCTTACCGTACCAAGGGAGAAAACTTTTGCACCTACCAAGGGGGTTACCTGAACCTCTAAGGAAAAAAAAGAGAGGGGCTTGGGTGTGCTACAGACAGCTAGAGTGACGAGGAAGTGAAACAGGGAGCCTGCGAAATGACAAGCGGAAAAAACGCTTAGAGGAAGAGGGAGGGTGGATGGTGGAGCGATACTCATCTGTTGGTGGGTGTGTGAAGGGCGCTGCAGAGCCCAAAACGACCGGCTCCGCTGCTGCTCCCTCTGCTGCTCCCTCTGCTGCTCCCTCGGCTGCTCCCTCTGCTGCTCCCTCGGCTGCTCCCCCCGCTGTCCCTCTGTTGCTCCCTCCGCGCCCCACGTCGCCTGACGCCAGCAGAGCTCTGAGAGTCAATCAGGGAGGTGAGAGGGAAAGGGTGAAAGGCGGGAAGAGGGGGGGGGGGGGGGGGGGGGGGAGGGGGAGATTAGAACCAAGAGCAAGAACAAGGGGTCGGTCAAATCCCATCCAGTCGATTCCAGATGCAAAGACGGGAGGGGAAGCACAGCTGCTGTCGCACACTCAAGGGGAGTGGGGTACCTTTACCTTACCGTACCAGGGGTAAAAGTTTTGTACCTACCAAGGGGGTTACCTGAGGGTCTGAACCTTTAAAAGGGGAGGGACTTGGGTGTGCTACAGACAGCAAGAACGGCGAGGGAGCAGAACAGGCAGCAAGCAGAAGGACAAGCGGCAAAGGCGAAGGGAGTGTTGGCTGGGGAAACGATACTCATCTCCTTTTTCACTTGATGGTTGCTGGAGAGCCCAAGACCACCCGCTGCTGCCTCCATTGCTGCCTTCGCCTTCCCTGCTGCCTCCGCTGCTGCCTCCGCTGCTGCCTCCGCTGCTGCCTTCGCCTTCCCTGCTGCCTGCTCGCCCCGGGCCCCTTGAGAAGCGGTCGCCAGGCAGACGAAGGTCCTTACCACCCGCAGGTACTGAGTCAGGGAGGGGAGGGCAGGCGAGGGAGGGGTGGGAGGGCGTTAGCATGACGAGCAAGGCGGAGGAGTGCAGCGGAGTGAGTCACATGCAGTCCAGCCCGCGGGAGACGAGTGCGCGTGAGCAGATGCGAATGGAAGCGGGGAGGTATAGCTGCTGTAGCGCACCCAAGGGGAGTGAAGGACCTTCACCTTACCGTACCAGGGGAGAAAAAATCTGTACCAGGGGGTTACTTACCTGATCGGCTGAACATTAAAAAAAAGGGGGGAAGGGACTTGGGAGTGCTACAGGCAGCTAGAGAGAGGAGGCAGCGAAGCAGGGAGCATGCGAAATGACCAGCGGAAGAAACGCTTATAAGCAGAAAGGGGGTGGGCGATGGAGTGATACTCATCTCTTGGTTGGTGTGTGCGGGGCAGTGCAGAGCCCAAGACGACCCGCCTCCGCCCCACGTCCCCGCAGAGACTCTCCTTAATGCTCCTCGCGGCCAGCAGGGGGACTGAGGGACAGGGAGGGAGGAGGGGCGAGAAGGGGGAAGGGTTGTGATCAAACAAACAAGCGGAGGGCATTGAAGTCACGAGCAAGCAACAAGCACTCGTGTAGCAAATACGGGAGGGGAGGTAGAGCTTCTGTAGCACACCCAAAGGGGAAACGGGGACCTTTACCATACCGTACCAGGAGGAAAAAGTTTTATACCAACCGAGGGGGTTACCTGATCGTCTGAACCTTCAAAAAGAAAAGAAGGGGACTTGGGTGTGCTACGGACAGCTAGGGAGACGAGGCAGCGAAACAGTGGGCATGCGAAATGACAAGCGGAAAAGCGGTTAGGGCGAGGGTGGATGGTGGAGCGATACTCATCTCTTTTTTTCACTTGATGGTTGCTGAAGAGCCCATGACGACCCGCCTCCGCCCCACGTCCCCACAGCGACTCCCCTGATGCTCCTCGCGGCCAGCAGGGGGACTGAGGGACAGGGAGGAGTGAGGGGCGAGGAGGGGGGCGAGGAGGGGGAGGGGTTGTGATGGAACAAGTAAGAGGAGTGCAGAAAAGACACATGCAAGCAACAGGCCCTCGTGTAGCAAATACGGGAGGGGAGGTAGAGCTTCTGTAGCACACCCAAAGGGGAAACAAGAACCTTTGCCATACCGTACCAGGAGGAAAATGTTTTATACCAACCGAGGGGGTTACCTGATCGTCTGAACCTTAAACAAAAAGGGGGGGACTTGGGTGTGCTACGGACAGCTAGAGTGAAGAGGCAGTGAAACAGTGGGCATGCGAAATGACAAGCGGATAAGCGGTTAGTGCCAGGGTGGATGGTGGAGAGATACTCATCTCCTGGTGGGTGCGTGAGGCGCGCTGCAGAGCCCAAGTCGACCCGCTGCTGCCTCCAATGCTGCTTCCGCCCCGCGTCCCCACAGCCACTCTCCTTTATGCGCCTCAACGCGTTTTTTAAGCGACGCTCCCCGAAGCGTTTCCATGCGACTCTCGAGGCCACCAGGGGGGCTGAGGAACAGGGAGGAGGGCGGGGATGAGCGAGGAGGAGGGGGGAGGGGATGCAATGAACCGATGTCCAAGTAATTGCAGTCGGATCACGTGCAAGCAACGGACGCTCGTCAAGCAAACACGCGAGGGGAGGCACAGCTGCTGTAACACACCCAAGGGGAAGCGGGGATCTTTACCTTACCGTACCAGGGGGGAGACAAGTTTTAAACCTACCGAGGGGGATTACCTTATAAAAAAAAGGGGAAGGACTCGGGTGTGCTACAGGCAGCTAGAGCCACGAAAGCAACAAAACCACACCAACGACAAGCGCGAAAACGGTCGGAAGCAGAGAAATACTCATCTCGCTGACAGCTGAAGCGCGTTGACTCGCGGCGGCAGCGCGTTGACTCGCGACGACAACGCGTTGACTCGCGACGACTGGAGCCGGCAGCAGGAGGGTTGACTCGCGGCGACAGGACGTTGACTCGCGGTGGCACCGGGCGCGTTGAGCGAAAGCGAGAGTCGAGAAGCGGCTCCTGGAGCAACGGGGGGGGCGAGCGGAGTACACGCGAGTGAGACAAGGGGACGAACTGCATAAAGAGCGGCGGAAATGAAGGCGTAGCGCGAAGCGGCGAAGCAGAGGCTGCTATAGCACACCGCAGGGAGGGATACCTTAGTCTGTACCGTACCAAGGCCGAACCTGTACCGAGGCTTACCTGTTTTGCACCTGGAATGGGGGGAATACCTGCACCAGTTACACCTGCACCTGGAACCTGAAGCGGGGGGACCCTTGGGTGTGCTACAGAGCATGCGATGCGAGCAGGGAGAGATGCGGATGGACAGCGAGAAGGCAGTGATACTCATCATGTCGGCTCGATGCAGCACGCGCGTTGACTCCACGCCGACGCGCGTTGTCTCGACACACGCGCGTTGACTCCACGCACACGAGCGTTGACGTCATGAAGACGGGCGTTAATTTGAATCACATGATCGTTGACCGCAAGACGAAGGATATTTCTTCAACGCGGATAGCTTGTTTGTTTCGTGCGAGAATGTCAAGAGAACCTGCAAGCGACGACGGAAAGGAAATGGCGTTAGTATGTTTCGATAAATAATAGAAACAAAAACAAGAACACACAAAAAAGGGAGTCTCGCAAAACGAAAGCATAAATTGCTACTCGTTCCCCATCTCCCTCAGGCTTACCGTGCAATTGCCGCTCGTCGCACAGCCAGCGTGCTCGCTCTTCGCAGATCCTGAATTGACACATCTTGAGCCAATGCCGATCTTCATGTTACGCATTGACCTGCACGGATAGAACGAAGAGTCAGAATAGCGTTTGATAATGAAATAGGAACGAATTTCGCCAAGTAGAAGCTTGGATATATTCGAAAATGAAATGGAAACTACTACTTACACATGAAGTCCTCGTGGAAATGTTGTCGCGTCGAAATAACCGGCTCGGCAGCAACGAGACCCCCGCGCTTTAAAGGGCTCCGAACTGTTCCGAGGCGTTCTCATCTTCCTACCAACGACCGGACGGACTGAAGGTTGAATGGTAATTTTGGAAATTGGAGTCTCAATGTGGGCAAATTGAATTTCGGGAAAATGGAGTGAAATAGAGGGCGAGTGGGAGAACATGCGGAGGTGAGAACGAGGCGAGGCGGTTGGGAAATGGGAAGCTGACGGGCTAACGGAGGGAGGAACGGTTGACGCTGAATGGGAGGAGAGTGGGGTAAGAACCGAGCCGCGATAGGAAAAAGCTCGACGGGTCCTAATCGCGCTGAGATTCGTTGGACGGTTGGCGCCAAGGTTAGCCAGAACCGTTGGCAACGAAATACAGGTGAAAATGTCATATGATTCGCTAGAAATGGAGACCACCAGTGGCCGAACCGCAAACTGCGAAAAAACAAGATTCCCTAGCCCGCTACTTTGCCGCCGAAGGGATAAGGTTGGCCCACGCCCACTGGAATAGAGTTGAGCGCCAGTCCCAAAGGCCACCAAACCCTAGCTTCAGCCTGGCAGGCAGAAACGAAGTTCAATCCCTTGGGAGCTGTTGTCAGGCAACCCCCAGTTTGTGTTGAGGTGGCTGCTCATCGTGTGTGTTTCCCCCACGAAACATAATGTATCGTGCCTCTTTCCAGATCTTACCCATCGCGAACCGATTTGACGGGGTTAGTTTTCAGATGGTGTGGAGGCCATTCCAGTAAGAATACCTACTTGAAAACAAATTGGTACTGGCCTGTCCGTACTTCCAGCTACACCAAATGGTTGCACTTTGCAGGGGAAACCCAGAACTGACCTGAGAACGGAAGTCGGTTTCCTTTATTGGAAGCGGACTGAACTGCACTGATTGGGCGAAACTGGCGAAAATTAGTTGCTCAGGATACCTCGTCGCTGAGTGGACGATTGACCTGTTACTGATCGCCTCGCGTAAATATGTTGAAACAAAAATGATGTTACAGATATTCTATTAACATACTCCAAAATCTGACACACATAAATGTGGATACTATTATAAAATGCTAGAAGCAGGCCAACACACTGTTTGCACAGCAGAACCACAGCCGACAAGGGTGATGACATTATTTAGAGAGTCGGTTGCTCTTACGTGCCCATTCTAATAATGTCAAGGCCTGAACAGCATTCTCTGTTTTGACTAAACAATCCAAAACATACAAACCAGTAAGTACCGTATGATTGCACCGGTAGGTCCTCCACTTGCCAGAAGGCATGAATATCTGTACCCTCTGTGTTGTTTTTCTTTTGCTGTTCTCCAGCCGGAAGATGCTAGTTCAAAGGTCGTTTATTATGCACATGAGTAAAGCAAAGCATGTACACATCGACAGCAGCTACAGGCGCTCTATAAAACATTGGCACCACCCGTGCTGCTTGCAACACATAACCTAGGCTTCCAATACTCTAATCCCAGAAGCCTACCCATAACCAAACCCGAGACCCAGCCTTAAACCTTGTATTACCAACCAACACCACATAACCAAGGCAGTGGCTACAATTACCTGTACAGCCTCCACTCCCCGTTTTGATTCAATCAGTGAGGTTTGGCGGAGTGGAGGGGTCAGGGCAGAAGTCAAAAGGCATCCATGCATCTCCCTCCTCTCCTGCCGCTGCAGCTGCTGCCACTGCTGCTTCTGCTGCTGCATCCCACCACGCAGTCTGCATTATTGCCTCGTCCCCTCCCTGCCACGCTGCCTCAGCTGCCCTCATAGCATCACCACCTCCATGCCCCTCGTCTCCTGCCTGCCCTAGCACCATGCACATGTCCTCATCTCGATGATCCTCCACGCCCGCATGCTCCATCGCCCCTGCTCTGCCCTCACAAGTCACAACACCACCTGCCACACCTCCACCTTCTACTGCAGATGTGTGTGCCTTCTCATCCATATTTTTCTCCATCTTATTCAACACATCATCCTTAGGACCGGCTGCCACAGCACCGGCCGCTGCCCTCTGCATGCCTGCACACTCTGTCACGCCACCTGGTGCTGCCACGCCTGCCACGCCTGCAGCCCCACCAGCGCCCGTCCGTCTCCCCACCTTGCCTCTTGCAGCCCCCTGAGAGTGCATGGTGGGTGGTACCACTGGAAGACTTTCCTTCCACCAGGAGGGGAGGGAGCCGGGGACAAGGTGAGCAGCAGAGCTGGTGGCATCGGGATCGGCAGCACCATCAGTAGTACCACCACCAGCGACGGTGGTAGCAGCACCAGCAGCAGCAAGGGAAGAGGCGTAGGGGGGGAGGATTTCTTGCAGCATCATTTGATTCTGCATCGCCATGCCTTGGGGCAGCACCATTGCCTGACTCGGTAGCATGCTTTGTGGCAGCATCACCATGCCATGCTGTGCCATCATGCCTTGTTGCCCCATCATGCCCTGTTGCCCCATCATGACCTGTTGCCCCATCATGCCCTGCTGTGCCATCATCCCCTGCTGCCCCACCATGCCTTTACTCCGCAGCATGGCTTGGTTCATCAGCATGGCTTGCTGCGGCAGCATGCCCCCGCCCACCATGCTCTGGTTCGGCAGCATGCTCTGGTTCGGCAGCATGCTCTGGTTCGGCAGAATGTTCTGGTTCGGCAGCATTGTTTGGTCCGGGTGCATGGTGTGGCTCTGCGCCAAGGCTGTGTGGGGAACCATGATCGGCTGGTAGACAGGGATGGGGCTGGGGGAGGAGGAGAAGAAGAGGGCACGTGGCACCGACCTTGCTGCACCTGCAGTGGCAGGGGAAGGCCCGCTGTGGAAGGGTGCTGGGAAACAGCTGCCGCTGCTGGGGCCTCTGGGGCTGCTGCTGCTGTTGGTGTTGGTGTTGGTTGTTGTTGTGGCGAAAAGCATTGCCTGCTGCTGCTGCTGAGCTTGTAACCGCTGCAACTGGTGCTGCTGCTGCTGAGCTTGTAACTGCTGCAACTGGTGCTGCTGCTGCAAATGCTGCTGCTGTAAACGCTGTTGCTGTAAATGCTGCAGGTGCAGCTGCTGCTGCTGTAACTGGTGTTCTTGTAACTGCTGCTGGTGCCAGTGCTGCTGCTGCTGCTGCTGTTGCATCTCCAGGTGAGAGAGAGGCGAGTGGAGGGGAAGAGAGGAGGGGAGGAGGGAGTGGCGTTGGTGAGGGGAGGTGGATAATGAAGCCTGGCTGGGGAAGCGGTGGAGTGAGGGCGAGTGGGACTGGGAGAGGGAGCGTGAGTGTGAGAGCGAGCGAGAGTGGGAGAGCGAGTATGAGTGGGAGAACGAGTATGAGTGAGAGAGCGAGTGTGAGTGGGAGAGCGAGTGTGAGAGGGACAGTGAGCGCGAGTGAGGGAGTGAGTGAGGGAGCGAGGAAGACTCGAGTGTGGGCGAGGATGCAATCCGGGTAAAGTGCAAGTCTCCTTCAACCTTATTCGCCGAAACGGCAACAGCTGAAGGAATGGTAGCAACTGTAGCAGCAGACGCAGTATTAGCAGCAGCAGCGGATGCATCATTTGTAATGGTCGTGGCAGCAGCGGCGGCAGCAGCAGATGCAGCGTTTGTAGCAGTCATAGCAGCAGCTGCAGCTGTTGCTGCTGCTGCTGCATTTCCACCTGCCCCTGCAGCCGCTTGGAGTGCATGACTCATTTTCTGGGCAGCTGAAAACGTTTCCACGGAAGGTGGCGATTGGCTGAGAGCGTCAAACAGCCGAGTGGTCAGCTCGTTTTGGACCGAGGTGCGAACAGGAAGGGCAGCAGCAGAGGACCCAGATGGGATCCGAGATAACAGGTTGGTCTTGACTGTTTCCACAGGAGTGTGAAGCGGTTGAGAGTGGTGAGACTGATGTGGGTTATGGCCGCTATTGATTTGGAGCCTGTCCAGGTTCGTTGCTGCTTTCATTGCTTGTTCCTCCTCCTGTCGCTGCTGCTGACGCTGCTGCTGCTGCTGCTGCTGCTGCTGCTGCTGCTGCTGCTGCTGCTGCTGCTGCTGCTGCTGCTGCTGCTGCTGGTGTTCCTCTGATGTCGCATCTTTCCCCTCCAGTCCTGCACGGCTCTCAGGTGCCCCTCCAGGTGAATTCTCAGGTGAGTTTGAGTCAGAGCTTGCAGAGGTGGTGGCGGCAGAAGCACCAGCCACACCCGCAGCACCAGCACCAGCAGCACCAGCAGCACCAGCAGCAGCACCAGCAGCACCAGCAGCACCAGCACCACCACCAGCAGCACGAGCAGCAGCAGCGGGTGAAGTGGTGGCAGCAGCATCAGCACCACCAGCAGCGGCAATGACAGCGGCAGCAGCAGGCGGGGGCGCGGGGAGGCGGAAGAAGTCAGCCATTCGGCGAATGAAGGCCGGGTCGTGTGAGTGCGGTGAACCGGAGAACGACGGGGAGTGTGGCGCCATTTTTCTTCTGGTGAGGGGGAGAGGGAGGGACGACGAGAGAAACAAATGGTAAGCAGAGGAAGTGGGAGAGAAATGCGAAACGGAGCGATGCGGAGTGTGGAGCCATCGCTTTTTGGTTAGAAGGAGTGAGGAGCACGCACAGAGCGAAAAGAAGAGAAGGGAGAAGAGGAGAAAAGGAGAAGCGCACACAGGTGAGGTACGAAACTCAGCGATGTTGAAGCATACCTGGCAGCGGTCTTGAACGACGTGGACGCGTGTGGGCGCAGCCCCTCTCGAATGGCGCGCTCCACCGCCCATGCATGTGCGCCCACCCCCCCTGCATGCGCGCCCACCCCCCCTGCATGCGCGCCCAACCCCCCTGCATGCGCGCCCACCCCCCCTGCATGCCCGCTCACCCCCACTGCGCTCGCCCTCCCTCTCCCCATGCTCCCGGCGCCTGCGTGACTGCCGCCCATCCACATGCCACGTGCTGCTGCCTGTTCCCCTTCCATGCCCTGCTGCGTGCTCTGCAAGCCTGCCATGCCATCCCGCCCCATCATACCCATCCCTGCCGCACCCATCCCTGCAACACCCAACCCTGCAACACCCATCGCTTCATCCATCATCGCTCCATCCATCATCCCTTCATCCGTCATCGCTCCACCCATCATCGCTTCACCATGCATCATACCACCACCGGTATGATAAGCTTCCCACATAGCATCCACCATCGCCCCATCCATCCCCCCCCCATCCATCATCCCCCCATGCGCCAACCCCCCATGCGCCATCCCCCCATGCGCCATTCCCCCATGCGCCATCCCCCCATGCGCCATTCCCCCATGCGGCATCCCCCCATGCGCCAGCCCCCCCTCCCTCTCCTCCCACTTGCCCCCTGCAGTAAGCGCCAGCCCGCGCAACTCCTCTTCCACCGCCTCAGGTGCTTTACTAAAAGCCGCGCTTAGCCCAGCACGCACTGCCGAACCGCCAGCACCACCAGCAGGCTCGGCAGTAGGTCCGGGATCCGAACCTGCAGGGACAGGCAACCCCCGAGGCTGCCCAGCCGAAACAGCAGCAACGGAAGAAGCACCAGCAGCAGCAGAAGCAGCAGCAGCAGCAACAGCAGGGCCGGTTTGCGGAGAGCTGGTAACCAGGTAACCGCGAGGGTTGTGCAGGTGAACGAAGGACTGATGGCTGGTACTAATCGCAGCAGGGGAGGACAAGGCAGTGGCGGTGGTGGCGGTGGTGCCATGGGGAGACGTGGGGGAGAGAATGGACAGCTCAGATTGGCTGTGCGCTGATCGGAGAGCTGGGGTGAGTCCTTGAGATAGCGGCTGGGTAAGGCTGTGGTAGACTGGCGCGCCTTCTTGGTCCAAGTAGCGCCTGCAGGGGGAATGGGGGAAAGGGGGGAGAAGGTGGGGGAACGAGGGGGGGGAGGGGGAAGGGGAAAAGGGAGGGGTGAGTGAAGAACGCGGTGAGAGAAGGAGTGGAGCGGCGAGAAAGGAGAGTTGGGAGGTGAGGGGGTGAGTGGGTGAGGGGGGGAGGGGAGAAGGGGGGGAAAGGGGGGGGCGTGGGAGGGGAGGGGGGAGGTGAGAGGGCGAGAGGTTGAAGGGTGGAGCTGTAAGGAGCAAAAGGATCACTCCTTAAGGAGGAATAAGTAGATCAGTTCTATTAATGAGGATACGGTAAGTGGTTTACTTCTTAAGGAGGATGAAGCGGTTGCAGCAGGCCTTGTTGTCGCGGTGCGGCAGCCGCCCGGACGCCTTGAGCACGCCCCAGTGCCGCGTGCCGTAGCTGCGCACGTGGTCCAATAAGATCAGATCCTCCTGCGGGGGTGGGGGGAAAGGCGCGGGGGGGGGAAGGAGGGGGAGAGAGGGGAAGAGGAGGGGCGGGGAGAAGTAGTGTTGAGGTGTGTCGCATTCTTTCGAAGTGCGGCTCGACGCATGGTGTGGTTTGACGGTGCACGGATAACGCGCAGCGACTCGCGACAAGTATTCAGCACGCCCCGGTGCCGCGCGGGGACCTGAAAGGGGGGGCGAAGGACTGCGGCATGACCGCACGCGCAGCGTTGGGGGCGGAAGAGCCGCGCGCGAGGCAATGGGGCGGCATGACCTTCCGCGCAGGAATAGGACGGCAATACCGCATGCGCGGCAGCGGGGCGGCAACAAATTTTTACCTCGGGGGACCACCAGCGGGAGTAGCTTCCCGTCGCCCCGGCCTCCGCGCCGATCGCGCTGTCCCCCGTCGGCTCTCGCGCCCCTTGAGGCTTCTCCGCTTCCGCCGATAGCGGCAAAGGCGACGGCTTGAAGGCTGCGCCCCTCGCCGCCACCGCCGCAAGCGCTGCTGCTGCGTCGGCGCGGTCGTCGCGCGCGGCTCGACCGCCAAAAGCCGCCGCCGTCGCCGCGTTCCCCGCCGCCATTATCGCAGCAGCGTCGCCAGTACCGAAACGGGTTGCAGCGATCATCGCATCGTCTTGTGCGACTTTTGAGAATTCTCAAAAGTCGCACTCGCTCGCCACACGACTATCTCGCTGTCAGGCGAATTCGCTCGACGCGGCAACGTCGTTGTCGCTGTCGCCAGCACCGTCGTGTCCCGTCGCTTTAGCTGACACCGTCGCCGTCGCTTTCGTCGTCGCCGTCGCCGTCGCCGTCGCCGTCGCCCTCGCCCTCGCCCTCGCCGTTGCTGCGGCAGAGAGCGCTTTGACTTCGAGTATCTTGGACGACAAAATCCAACCTCGCCTCTCCCGCAAGTTTGGCCCCTCGGGGGCTCAATACCTCGCTCCTTCGATCAAACCAACGGTCACCGCAGTCGACGGTCGACTCGATCAGACCAACGGCCGGGCTCTCTTGCAAGCTGAGCTGATGTCGCGACAGCTGTCGGGATGTGACGACGCGAGACGACTCTGATGATCGTATGGATGCAGAATGGCTTACACTCGGACTGTCGCGCGTGGTGCTACTGCGTTCGAGGCTTGCGGCTTGCGGGGAGGATCCGAATGAGATGCGCGATGCGAGACGGCTCGAAACGCAATGCCTTTCAAAATGTCGACGGCGGGACCGTAGGAAAGTTACAGCATGTGCTGCTGTGCCGCAGAATCTTCAATTCAGTGTATTGCGGCGCGGCTCATCTTGCGACACGGGCCGGGCGTGACAGCACGCGATGATTTGAATCGCCAGCTGAATCCAACATCCAATCGTAATGACCTGCGAATCGACAGGACACGCGGGTCGCCGATGCTCAACAGCTACGACGGGCAATGCGGGTAGCGGTAAGTGCGGAAATGTAGAGGTCGCCGATCACGAATCGCAGTAGCGACTGGCTCGTTTTTCGTTATGTTTCGGGCCCAGGCGAAAGGTAATCGTATGACGAAAGGCGTCAGGTGGAGAAAGGATGTCGGGAAATGTGAATGGGTGTCGGAAGATCGTCGTGGAAGCTGACATATGGAGACTACAGAGTTTTCGAGTGGTGGCGTCTGAAAATGCTGCGTTTCAATTTACTGTAATCAAAGGCGGTGGAGAATGTATGTGCACAGCTGGGATGGTCTTGTGGGGAAATGCACAGAGCGGGGCAGAACGGAGCAGGACAGTAGAAAAGGCAGAAGTGGTGCAGTGCAGCGCTAGAAGGCAGATTGCTGGGCCGCAATTGGCAAGTTGTGTGGGACTGTGTGGCGTCGAATCGTGGATGTGCAAATTGCAAAAGCTCAAATGTTGGGGGCTGAATGGAAGTGCAGAGCCGAGCTTCGGGAGGGATGGATGGAGAGAATTGGAGGACGAGCCGTGGCGCGTGTGGGATGAATGGGATGGAGATGAAGGAAGGCAGGGAAGAATCGGTGTATGGGAAAAATCTGTGGCTGAGCTGGACGAGAGCTTCTTTCGAAAGACTGGTTTGCTTTGGCCCAGCGATTTTCGAGAAAGTGCAACGCAGTCAAGAGGGCGCTGGAAATGTGACAATTCTCACAGCTGTGATGCATGCAGGCTTGTTGTTGGAGGGGGTGGATGGAATGGAGTGGGGAAGGGTGGGCAGTGGGATTTCAGAGAAATAGCCTGAGGATTTCTTTGGAGGAAGCATTGGCCATTGTTTAGTGCTGATGCTCCCGGGCAGTATAAGAGTTTCTGGAAAAGGAGACACAAGAGGGATTCGATAGCGACGAATGCGGTGAAACTATCTTCCTCACCAACGGCGAAGAACCGTCGGATAGGCAAACCAGGTTCTAGAAAATCTCGCGCGATCACTTCGTGACAACGCTGCAGTTGTGTGAGGACAAAGATCGGTGTGATTTTGATGAGTTGGATGCACAAAGGAGGCGTTTCCTCGCTGGCATGTATGAGATCTGGGCAAGTTGTCGTACACACAAAAACGTTACTGTATCTACAGTACACTGCACCCCAGCCCAGTCACGCTAGGCAAGAAGAAAGTTGGACTCAGCTGGGCACATTCCGATTCCCGAAGGGCTGTGTGGATTGGCAGAAGGGAAACCCATACTGTAATGGGAATCATGTGGCTGGCATGGAATGCTCGTGTGGCTGGCTTGCATGCCACAACAAATTGGGCCAAGATGACCAGGGGTGGAAGAAGAATATTCGTCTCGTCCGGCCTCCTGTGGTCAGTGTTTGCGAAATCCTAAAACGTTTTAGACTGATTTGTCTTTCCCAATCACGTTTTCCATAATCATCGCTAATCTACAATGAACTGTAGTATTACGTAGGGTGTTCCTTGAGCTGGATGCAGGGCGAATTCTGTGCTCAATTCAGCCCAACTGAAGAAAATCACTCGGAAACCCCTGACACAGAATTTCCTCTTGCTACTCACATAGACACGTCCATATTCTTGAGCAATCCTGCGAGGCCAAATGGCAGCCATCGATTAGTTCCATATGAATGGCAAATGTGGCATTTGCTTCCAATCGCGAACCATGATCTACATGTGGGGAAAGACTGTTTCTTGTACAGTATTCTTGCACCATGGTGTTAGGCCCCTTGGCCTAAATCCGCTAAGGAATAGCGGGGTTGACTAAATTGAGGATAAACGCGGCGGAAGACTTTGGCGAAAGAGAGTGTTGGCGAAATAGGCGAAGAGGTAACTGAGTAATTGAAGAGTTGAATGAGAATTGATTGATATGAGGGAATACAAGCAAGGTTGATATAGCATGCAAGAGCAATTGTGGGAAAGTGGGTTGTGGGACTAGGAACTAGAAGGCAAAGAAAGTAGAGTGCCACGTGGCACTAGGAAATCCAAGAAGATAAGGATAAGGATGGGGTTGGGAGTTACTGTGCAAAGTGAACAGTAAAACCCCCTGTAACACTACCCCCCTCCCAAGGAGGCGACGTCCGCGGCGCCTGCAGACTGAAGGTACGCTTGAAGGCAAGCGTTGTCGGGAGACAGCGAGGACGAAGGAACCCAGTTGTCGTCGGCTGCATCGTAACCACGCCAACGAACCAAGAAGTCGATGAAAGAGACACCCCCCTGGAGACGGCGTCGGTGCCTGAAGATGCGCTGGATCTGGTAGTCGGGCTCGTCGGTGTCAACAGCGACCGGCAGTGGATTGCGATCACGGCCCGAGAAGGTGGCGTTGGGATCGGTGTATGGACGAAGGAGAGACACGTGGAATGACGGGTGCATGCGGAAATGAGCGGGAAGGCGAAGGCGGTATGCGACTGGACCTAGTGCGCGCTCAATGACGAATGGACCAATGAAACGAGGGCGAAGCTTGCTGTCCTGTGGCAGTCGGAGGTTGCGGCTATCCAAAAGAACACGGTCGCCGACTGCAAACGACACCTCACGACGACTGCGGTTGGTGGTGCGTGCCATGCGTGCATTTGCGAGCTCAAGGTGCTTCCTCACGTGATCATGGATGAATGTGAGATGCTGGTGGAAGTTGTCCGCACGAGGGACTGTGGGTGTGAGATCGACACGAGTGGGGACGTTGGGGTGCTGACCGTACAGTGCGAAAAACGGTGACATGCCTGTGGACGAGTGGTGCGTGTTGTTGTAGGCGAACTCGGCCATGCTCAGCTTCTTGTCCCATGCGGCTGCGTCGTGCATCGTGATGCTGCGAAGAATCTGCTCCAAGGTCTGGTTCACACGCTCGGTCTGTCCGTCTGTCTCTGGGTGGTACGCAGACGACATGGCTAAGCGAGTCCCAAACAGTGCGAAAAGCTGCTTCCAGAACTTCGAAGTGAAACGAGGGTCGCGGTCTGAGATGATGGAATCTGGAACCCCGTGCAGTCGGACTACGTTATCTACGAACAGCGTCGCGGCTTCCTCTGCTGTGACCTTGCCGTGCGTGGGGATGAAGTGCGCTGCTCGAGAAAACTTATCCACTACCACGAAGATGGCGTCGTGACCCCTAACTGTGCGCGGTAAAGCCATGATGAAGTCCATCGTAACTACCTGCCAAGGGCGGTCGGGAGGTGGAATCGGCTGCAAAAGTCCTGCCTTGCGCTGGCGAGAGGACTTCGTACGCTGACACGTGTCGCACGAGCGAATGTAATCCTCTACGTCTGCTGCAAGCCCTGGCCAGAAGTACGTGCGACTAAGCGTCTTAGCCGTCTTATCTGCTCCGAAGTGACCTGCACTAACTACGTCGTGTGCCTCGGAAAGAAGGAGCTGTCGAAGAGGGCGGTAGGCGGGAACCCAAATCCGTGTGGTACCCTTCCGTATGTAGACACTACCCTGCACCTCTGCTCCTGCGGGCGGCTGCGGTGTGAAGTCGGGATCTACTGTGTAACCGTGCTCGAAGAGTGCTGTGAGAAGTGGGTGCCAGCAGTGACTGTGAGGCTAGCGAGCTGGCAACTAGGGCGAGTGAGCGGATCTGCTGGGTTGCGTACGCCTGGCTTGTACTCTATCCTGTAGTGAAAACTCCCCTCCATGAACTCCATCCATCTAGCCTGGCGACGACTCAGCTGCGGCTGCGACTTGAGGAAACGAAGCGAGCAATGGTCCGTGCGTATAACACTATCTGCCCCCTCTAGGTAGCACCTCCACACCTTATACGCATGGATGATCGCGAGCGCCTCCTTGTCGTGTATGGGATAGTTCAACTCCGCTCCCCTAAGTTTACGCGACTCGTACGCGATCGGCTGCAACCCGCGTCCCTGGTCCTGAAGAAGCACTGCTCCTATGGCCCGATCTGAAGCGTCGGTCACCACAACGTACGGGCGAGTGGGATCAGGGTACGACAGTGTCGGTGAAGATGTGAGCGACTGCTTCATCTGCTCGAACGCCTGCTGCTGCGCTGGACCCCAATCGAAATCTACGCCCTTCCGAAGTAGGTCGGTGAGTGAACTAGCGATCGATGCGTAACCCTGAACGAAACGACGGTAGTAATTGGCGAATCCGAGAAAGCTCTGCAACTCCTTGACTGAGGTCGGAGCTACCCAATCCTGTACTGCTGCAATCTTCTTCGGGTCGGTCCTAACGCCACTAGCGGATACGACGTGACCTAGGAACTCGACCTCTGGAAGGAAGAACTCGCACTTCGACTGCTTAGCGTACAACTGCTCCTTCCGCAAGACCTCGAACACCTTCTGCAAGTGCTGCACGTGCTCCTCTTTCGTCTTGGAGAAGATGAGGATGTCGTCTAGGTAAACTACGACGAACGAACCTAGGAACTCGGAGAGGACGGTGTTCATGAGCGTCTGAAACGTCGCTGGGGCGTTGGTCAAACCGAACGGTAGAACTCTAAACTCGTACAACCCCTGCTTCGTACGAAACGCCGTCTTGTCCTGATCCTCCGGAACTACTCGAATCTGGTGATATCCTGAGCGAAGGTCGATCTTGGAGAAAACTCTAGCGCCCTGCACTGCATCCAGAAGATCTTCTACTCTCGGCACCGGGAACCTATTCTTGACGGTGGCGGCGTTCAGTGCGCGGTAATCTATGCACATCCGTAACCCTCCGTCTTTCTTAGGCGCGAAAAGGATCGGTGTTGCCCAAGGCGATCTAGATGGCTGTATGAACCCCTGCGCGAGAAAGTGCCTAACCTGCTGCGTCATCTCCTCTGTCTCCGCTGGACTCAACCTCCACTGCGGCTTCGCTACTGGTCTGCTTCCCGGCTCCAACTCTATCCGATGGTCTACTGCTCGGCTGGGAGGCAACCCTGGGGGCAACTCGTCGGGGAAGACGTCTGCGAACTCTGCTAACAGTGCACTCACCTCAGCAGGAAGAGTCGCCTTCTCACCAACTGCTGCACTCCCTCCTTTCCCCTCCTCAGCTTCCACCTCCTCAAGGAAAACCGCAAAGATCCGCGCCGCACGCTTCACTAACTGTCGCACACGAACAGCATTAATGATAGCTGTGGAGGATGTGGCCGCATCGCTCCACTGTGGCAGCTCCCGGAACTCGCCATCTACCTTGACGCTGCAGCTTCCCTGAGCCCAATCGAACTGAGTGTTAACCGTCCGTAGCCAATCCCTACCGAAGATGAAGTCGTAACCGTCCAGCGTCGCAGAATCGAAATCACGCCTAACCGTGATTGGTCCTAGCACTACGCGCAGCTTGCGAATGACTGGTCCTATGTGAAGTGGCGTCCCATCTACCATGCGAGCGTCCTTGAAGTTGACTGCCGAATCTGCCTCGAGATGGAGACGACTAACTAATGAAGACGAAACGAACGAGTGGCTAGCTCCGCTATCGATGAGAATCTTGACTGGAACACCGCGAAGCTTCCCTAGAAGCACGACTGGACGATCAACAGTGTCTACCTCGTTCGGCGTAGATGACTGCTCTAAGGGCGTCTCCTCTACGTTGGTAGACGTGGCGGGTTCGGAAGCGTCCACACCAGCTAGCGACCCGCTATCTACTGGCGGTTTCCGTTTCCCTGCTGCCGCTCCTTAAGCTGTGGGCAGTCCCGCTTCATGTGTCCCGGCTTTTTGCAGTAGTGACAGTTCCCCCTAAATCCCGTTTTCTGTGAGCCGTCACTGTTAACTGCACCAATCTCCATGGGCGATGGTCCGTCCCTCGATCGAGTGTCGGTGATCGGTTTGTATCCCCTATCGCGATCGTCACGACCCCGTCGGCTTCGTACTGCGTCGACGCGTTCTGCTGCTGCGACTACCGACTCGAAGGTGGACAATCCGTGAATCGCTATGATCTCCGCTATGTCCGGCTTCAACCCTTCGAGGTAGCGATCGCGCATCTCTGCTTCCGCGATATCGTCTATCTCGTTGCAGATACGGAAGAACCGTCGTGCGTACTCCTGGACGTTTCCTATCTGTCGGAAATGACGCAGACGCTTCCTAGCAGCTTCGGAGGCATTCACTAAGTCGAACCTACTCTTCAGCGTCGCTTCAAATCCTTCCCATGTTGTCGGAACCGTGGTAACACCCAAAGCTAAACTCCCTAAGCTCGAAGTTGCAGCTGCATGCCCCTCACCCTGTTGATGCCCGTCCAAATGAGCCCTTCTTACAGCAGTTTGTGTGAGTTGGCGCCACCACTCCAAGGCCGGGCCCCTCAGCAGCGTAACGGAGTACTCGATCCGCTGCTGCGCGTCCGCCTCTTGCACCCCGCTTGCGGCGAAGTAGTTGTTCAGCATGAAGATCCACGTCCGCACGTTCGCGTCGCGTTGACTTGGGTCGAACGGCTCGGGCTTCTGCGGCTTGAGCGCGCTTCGACGTTCCGGCAGCGCTTCCGCGCCAGTCGACGTGTTGGGTGCAGGAGATGGTGCGGCATGACCATGAGAAATTGACGCGAATTCACGAAGCTGTTGCATTTCAGCCCGTACCTGACGATTTTCCAGCGTCAACGTTTCGAGTTGGCGCATGAGTTGAGCAAGCGTGTTGCCCATGTCGTTGGGGACAGCGGTCATGGTTTCATCCATGTCGGCTCGACGACTCCAAGTCTGCAAGTCGGCACCGCGGGACGATGACGTCGTAGTCTCGTCGTCGACGGTCGCTCGTTGGAAGTCGCTCCCCTCGAAGGCTCTTGATACCAAGTGTTAGGCCCCTTGGCCTAAATCCGCTAAGGAATAGCGGGGTTGACTAAATTGAGGATAAACGCGGCGGAAGACTTTGGCGAAAGAGAGTGTTGGCGAAATAGGCGAAGAGGTAACTGAGTAATTGAAGAGTTGAATGAGAATTGATTGATATGAGGGAATACAAGCAAGGTTGATATAGCATGCAAGAGCAATTGTGGGAAAGTGGGTTGTGGGACTAGGAACTAGAAGGCAAAGAAAGTAGAGTGCCACGTGGCACTAGGAAATCCAAGAAGATAAGGATAAGGATGGGGTTGGGAGTTACTGTGCAAAGTGAACAGTAAAACCCCCTGTAACAATGGTGTACCCTGGTGCAAATTCTTTCATCACCCCTTGCCCTTTCGAACTTGTTGAAGTTAACAGCACAACCCTGCGAGAGACTATAAACGTATCGCGACTGGCACTACACGGATGGCGGCTGTTCAAGATCCCATACCTGTCCCGGACCGTTAAAGCGGCAGTATACATTTGTCAGTGGGGTTTCGGGTTTGTGAGTGTGCCTCACAGTTTTGGGGCAACTTTTCAAGTTCCTAAGGATTTTGAACCTCTGCTGTGAAATTTATAGCTTTAACGGAACTTCGGGATTCCGAGCCGTATAGAATGTAGCGTGCTGGTGACGCATACTGAGGTCGCCATTCATGTTTGGATCTGCTATCTTTCCCCCTCGCCTGTCTGTGCTTTTGGCTGGTCCTGAAGGTTCTTACGCCATTCGCCTCGTATCCTCTTCCGTGTCAGTCGCCTTGACATTTCCTTCTCTACACGGATCATATTAATCGTCATTGATTGGGAAATCAGCAGCTCCTCTTGTTTGTTTAGTCGTCCTCGCCGCTACGATCAAAGCTGATCCGAGGGTATGTAGCACTACATTCAGTGAAGCGGGACGAAGGCGACGGTGGGACGAAAAGGGGCATTGATTGCTGGCAGCAGCAGCAGTATGAGCGACACTACAAGCGAAAGTTACCAACTGTGGGAGGGAGCCTCGTTAGCGCGAGACTGGCAGCTTTTCGCGACGGGAGCAAGGAATTTCACGAATTCAGTTACAGCCTCTTTTAGCGAGTCAAGGAGCTTCTTGTGCTATTAGCGAGGACAAGAGGGACACGGCATGTTTGCAAACCAGCAGGACATTGTTTCGACCGTCGCGGGCAGCATGGAAAACGTCGAGTATGTTCATGAGAAGCTTCTCCTGCCCGACGAAGAGTTCGCGCTCCTAGAAGCGGCAGTGGCGGCCGCGGAGCGGGAAGCGGCTGCGCGGAAAGCTGCGCGAGCTGGTAGTTCCGCGGAGGTAGTGGCGGTACATCCGCGGGTGGACGGGACGGCGGAGGCAGTGAAGGAATCCGCGCGCGAGAGGAACAATGCGCGGGGACGCGGGGACAGGATTGAGTCTGCGGAAAGCAGCGCGGAGGCGTCACGACGGCTGGTGTCCCCAGAGTCAACTCAGAATTCGCTTTATGCATGGATGCGACCAGAGACGCTTTTTGAGGCGCCTCAAAATCCCAAGGCGCCTTCTCAGGCTCCTCAAATGGCGGAGCCTGTGACAAGGAGGTCCCTTTTCCCGGACATTGAGGACGTGGCGAGTCGCGATTCGCTGCCAGCGGAATGGACACGTGTCGTTGCTGGAGCCGCAGGCGCTGATGGATGTGCGAGGGAGCGCGAGGCAGGAATGGAGGCTAGGGGAATGAGTACAGAGGCTCGGGGAATGAGTGCAGAGGCTCGGGGAATGAGTACAGAGGCTCGGGGAACGGGTTCAGAGGAGAGGGGAACGAAAGGAGAGGCGCGGGAAGCTAGAGAAGGGGCGCTGGAGGTTCGGGCAAGGCACGTGGCACGGCGGCCGTTGGATTGCAAGCGGAATCAGCGGCTGTCTGTGACGGATATCACAGACGCGGTACTTGCACATGCGTCGCGTGGCTCTTCCATCCCGTCCTGTTCTTTTCCTCCTTAGCCCTTCTTTTCCTCCCTAGCCCCAACTCTGAATTCAGACTGCGATGATTATAAAATCTTGTTCTTTTACAGATTTTTGCTCCTCATCTGTCCCTTGACTTACATCCCTTCGCCAACTCGTCAAGCACGAGCGCCCCATGATTGACATGCCTCACCACCCGTCCCTTCTCTTTCTACACACGTCCCAAGCCCGCCTCGTTTCTCTTTCCCTTCGTTCACCCTCTCGCCCATCTGCCCAATCACCCAATCACCCATCCGCCTGTGCTCGCAGGAGTGGTGTGAGCAGCGGGTCGTCTTCTCTCTCGCCCGCGGCAAACCCCCGCCAACAGCAGCGATGAGGGCGGGCGCGGAGAGGCATGCAGCGTTGGAGCGGGAGGTGGTGGAGACAGTAGAGGTGGCGGTGGAAACCAGGGAGGACGTGTGGGCGCTCAGACTGCTGGGGGCCGCTGCTAGAGTGCTCGCCCTGGGGGAGGGTATGAGGGAGGCGATGGGGGGTGCCATGGGGAGGGAGAATGGAGGAGCGGGGCTCTGTGGTGATGCTGCTGCCGGCATAACGCGAGAAGTCTTTGTGTGAGTGGCTCCTGCCCTGACCCACTGCCTGTTGCTTCATCACCTCCTCCTGCTGCTGCTGCGGCTGCTCCTCCACCTGCTGCTGCTGTTTGATTGCCCAATCAACGAGCTCATTTCTGTTGCTCTTACCGTCGAAACCCTCCATGCTCAGGTTGGGCAGGGTGCATGGCGTGTGGGTGGTGGGCGTGATTGATGAGCTGCGCCTCGTGCGTGCTGGAGTTGCTGCAGCAGAAGACAGAGAGGGGAGTGCCAGGATGGAAGGCTGCAGCGCAGGCAGTCAAACAAGTCAAAAAGTTGAAACCGGCGAAACAGGACAGACAGCTAGTCAGACAGGACAGGCAGGTCGAACAGGTCAAACAGGTCAGACAGGTCATGCAGGTCAAACGGGTCAAACGGTTCAAACGGTTCAAACGGTTCAAACGGGTCAAGCAGGTCAAGCAGGACAGACAGGTCAAACAGGTCAACCGAGCCGTACAAGTCCTGTGAAAAGGAAATCTGGGTGCATGGGGACCGAGGGAGAGCACATGCAGAAGAACGAGGAGAGAGCATCAGGTGGATCACAGCCGTTAGATTCACAGCCGTTGGGCTCGCAGCCGTTAGATTCACAGCCGTTGGAATCCCAGCCATTGGATTCACAACTGATGATTTCAGAACGCTCACTGGGATATCGTTCTGATTCACATGCGTTCACCTCTCAGTCATCCGATGTGTCCATGCAGCTTGCATCGCAACCTGATTCCGCTAGCAGCCCTGGCAGGGAGGGAGGCAGCAAGGGAGGTGGCGAGGCCAGCAGGGAGGGCGGCTGGGAGGGAGGCGGGGAAGGAGGAGATAAGGGAGGAGTGGGGGAGGGTGGGGGTGGGTGGCGTGTGATGGTAGTCGACACCAAGACTCGCGTGCGGCCTCGGGCACCACGGGCAGCGCAAAGCAGAAACAGCAGGTGGGCTTGTATGCACGGGTGGTTGCATGTGGGAAGGGAAGCGGGGAAGGCGGGAGCGGGTGGCGTGTGATGGTGGTGGACACCAAGACTCGCGTGCGACCCCGACCCCCACGGGCAGCGCAGAGCAGGAACGCCAGGTGGGTCTACATGCACAGGGGGGAGAAGACAGATTGACTGTATTCCTCACCCACGTGCCCCCGATTCCCTTCCTTGCTCTCTGCTCCTCCTCTGCCCATCCCCTTCTCTCACATGTTTCAGCTCATCTGCTGTAACTCGACCATTCGCGCACCACCACCCCCCCCCCCCCCCTCTCTCTCTCTCGCAGGCTGCAGCTGATGTGCTACAGTGCGCTGCTCAGCAGCATGGTGCAGCACGGCCTGCCTCAGGAGCCCTTCTTCTCCTCCTTCCGCCTCCAACCCCGCGCCACCCTCTCCCCCCAAGTGCTTGAACATGCGGCCGAGGTCTTTCCACGGAGAAAGGTGTGTTTATGGGGAGCTGAGGTTATGGGAAGGTGAGATTTTGGGGAGGTGAGATGTTGGCGAGATTTTGGGAATGTGAGATTTCCAAGGTGTGGTGTTGTTTGCCCCTGCCTGTAGCATCTGCGTGTTGTGTGTCTTATTCTCTTGTGCCGCATTTTTCAGATCACCTGTCTCGCTGACGTCACGAGTGCGGTCTCTCACGCCTTCCAGTCGCTGCAGCCACTGCACTCCACCCTGCTCTTACGGTACGCGGACTATCTTGCCTTGCAATGCCATGCATGTATGCGAGACAGTCGCAGTCACAGTCTCCTCTCTCACAGGCGCTCTTTGAACACTCTCCTCTGGGTTGCTTGAGATGCTTTTTGCCACGCTGCTGCTTGTTTGCAGGTATGAGTGGCAGGCGGATGGCTCACTCATTCACGAGGACCGCTTCCCCTATGATCCCCACTGGCTGCAAGCTAGCATCTCCACAAGCCTCGATTTCTGGCTCGGGCGCCGCCAACCCTTCATCGTGCCTCGTGAAGAGGCTTGGAAATGCTCCTGGTGCTCGTTTGCGCCAGTGTGCCGCCCGGATTTGAGGTGGAAGGGGCAAGCAGGCAATGGACTATTTGTCTGACCTGGGCATTGTGTGTATAGGGCTTTAAGTATAGTGCCATGACAGAGCATGCCCACCACACCATGTTAAGCCAACTAGCCAACACTTGTAAGTGCTACAGCTAGTTTGCATGTATGCTTTCATGTATTAAGCCACCTCGAAAACATAGGACAGTGATGGTCCCAGAGATTCTCCACCTAATCACCAATGTTTCATATTCTTCCATGTGATGCAAACTGTTTTGACTCCTTTTGTGAACCAGGTCCTGTTTATCCTGAGACATGTTCATGTGTACTTCCATCGTATACTTCCTTTCATGATTATACTCTTGATTATACTTTTCATACCAGCACACCTCCATTCTCTTTAGTAAGGTGCACTACTGGTAAAAATGGTCCATATATTCAATATATCAGGACATTACAAGCTGTTGCATCTCAGCAGAATGTACTACCGTACTAGAATGGTCCATTCTAGTGGCAGCATGCCATCCATGCCCACCCCGGCATGGACTGGCAGCGCAACAGGCAGAGAGGAAGGCTGAGCCATGAGCATTGCTTCGCCCAAGACGTGCGGGAGCCCTACTAGGGACTAGCTCTGCCCACCCCCACCTCCACCAAATGACAACAACTGCTGGCCAGACAGTGTTGGCACTTGGCGGGGGCGGAGGGGGACAGAACCAGTCCGGTTTGGCCCGGATTCGAGTGCTTAGCCCAATGCTCATGGGTTCAACCCCTCTCATGCACTGCCTTCACCACCAACAGCCATGATTGCTGCCCATGAACGCACCTGCATGGTAAGAAAGGAAAAGATTAGTCCAGGCTCTTAAAAAACAGAAAGGAGGCAGCATGCGACAAAGCAAAATGACAAACACAAATTCATAAAAAAGGTTTAGCAAAACCGACTAGGCGCAAAGGACTGAGACTTATCTGCAGTTGGGGAGTTGAAGGTGTTTAGCAGTGCGCAGAGACTTGAGGCTTCATGGTCGTGAAGAGATGCATTGAAGAGAGTCCTTGGAGAGAACCTGCCAGGAGGTAAACGGACCAGGTCAGTGAACGGGATCATTATGAAGCCACAACTTGAATAGAACGAAAGAATCAGCAAGCGTGGAAGCAGTCGAAGGGGAATGTGCAGCAAACTAAGGAGCGTTAAAGACAAGGGGCAGGAAACTTATCTCGCCAAGGTTGAGTCTTGAGGCGCCTCATCATACCATGGTGCTCCCATGGATGTTGGACATGCTCAAGGTCCCTTGGTTGAGTAACCTGCCACATCAAAGTAAAAATAAAACCAAGTTAGTAAATCAAGTAATTTCAGAATCACTAAGCAACAGAAAGCAAGAGATGAGGGGTAAAGTCCATAGAGAGGGGACTTACTGCTGGTGTAGAGAGAGGAGGCGCCTGCCAGTGGTGTCGGCAGGTACGTTCACCCCGCCTTGAAGCTTAGCAGTGTGGCACAAGGGCCTTGAATAGAACCTGCAAGAATAAAAAAGCGAACGTTAGTAAAGTGAATTAACAAAGGATGAAAAAACGGAACTCAAAGTATACTTACCACACCACCACAGAGCCGATTACCAACCAAAGGGACCTGTACCGCACCTGTACCAAACCTGTACCGAACCTAAACCGGGGGGAGTGGCTCTGTGGGGTCGATACGTTCAACCTTAACCGGGGAGGTAAGTTGAGGAGCTGCTCCTTCGCCCGCCATGAGCTCGGGAGGTTGATGCCACAAGGGCCTTGAATATAACCTGCAAGTTCAAAAACATGCACAGGTTAGTAAACGGAATTAAGAAAGCAGGAAAAAAGACTTTGCAAAACTCAAAAGCACGTGTTGCTGCTTACCTCAGCACCACAGAGCCGATTACCAACCAAAAAAATACCGTAAGGGGACCTGTACCGCACCTGTACCGAACCTGTACCAGGGGGGGTGGCTCTGTGGGTTGATACGTTCAACCTTCACCGTGAAGGTAAGTTGAGGAGCTGCTCCTTTAGCCCGCCATGAGCTTGGAAGGTTGATGGCACAAGGGTCTTGAATATAATCTGCAAGTTTAAACACAAGCACAGGTTAGTAAACGGAATTAAGGAAAGCATGAAAAAAGACTTTGCAAAACTCAAAAAGCACGTGTTGCTGCTTACCACAGCACCACAGAGCCGATTACCAATCAGAAAAATACCTTAAGGGGACCTGTACCGCACCTGTACCGCACCTGTACCGCACCTGTACCGCACCTGTACCGAACCTGTACCAGGGGGGGTGGCTCTGTGGGGTTGATACGTACAACCTTCACCGTGAAGGTAAGTTGAGGAGCTGCTCCTTTAGCCCGCCATGAGTTGGAAGGTTGATGGCACAAGGGTCTTGAATATAATCTGCAAGTTTAAAACAAGCACAGGTTAGTAAACGGAATTAAGGAAAGCATGAAAAAAGACTTTGCAAAACTCAAAAGCACGTGTTGCTACTTACCACAGCACCACAGAGCCAATTACCAACCGAAAAAATACCATAAAGGGACCTGTACCGCACCTGTACCGCACCTGTACCGAACCTGTACCAGGGGGGGTGGCTCTGTGGGGTTGATACGTTCAACCTTCACCGTGAAGGTAAGTTGAGGAGCTGCTCCTTTAGCCCGCCATGACATTGGAAGGTTGATGGCACAAGGGTCTTGAATATACTCTGCAAGTTTAAAAACAAGCGCAGGTTAGTAAACGGAATTAAGGAAAGCATTAAAAAAGACTTTGCAAAACTCAAAAAGCACGTGTTGCTGCTTACCACAGCACCACAGAGCCGATACCAACCGAAAAAATACCTTAAGGGGACCTGTACCGCACCTGTACCGAACCTGTACCAGGGGGGGTGGCTCTGTGGGGTTGATACGTTCAACCTTCACCGTGAAGGTAAGTTGAGGAGCTGCTCCTTTTGCCCGCCATGAGCTTGGAAGGTTGATGAGGGCTTTTGCTCCTCCAATGCCTTCTGAAGTGCGCCCAGGAGTCTCTATGCCCAACCTGCAAGTAAAAGGAAAAAAAAATGAGTAAACGGATTTAAAAAAAGCATGAAAGATAAATGAACAAAACATGAAAACGAAATACGGCGGGTTGTTGTACCTGACGTTGAAAACGGCAGTATGCAGGTGAAGTCGTCTCACTAAGGTACGAGACGTCGTGACGCTTGGCGATCCAGACCAGGCTGACTGGTGCCGACGTGAACGACGTCGATGGTTCGAAACCGCTAGAGTGAATGGAAGCAAAGCTCGTGTGACAAAAAAGCCAAGAGGCTGAGGAAACGAACACATTTTCAAAAAGAAAAGCAGAGACTACGAATGGATCTGCGGGAAAGGGTGCTCTTCCTGAATGCGGACCGTTGGGATCCCAACGTCGCGACGCCTAATGTGATGAAATCTGTCAATGGTTGAGAATCTGCCTTGCTGGCTCTGATGGGGTCCCAAACGTGCCACCCTGTCATATGGTGGATCAACACAATCCGCCGACAACATGAACTCCAGCTACTGATTGGACCGCCCAATGTGGAATCGACCCATATGCGATGGGAGAAAGGCTTCGGTTGAAGACAGGTAGGCTGGACAGAATGAAACACGGGTGGAAACAAAACTTCGAAAATCTCGTGACGTGGCCAAGAGCAGCCGCTAATCTAACAGGCGCGGTTCGTTTCCCGAAGCGTGCTATCAATTTGAGCCGCTCTAGTGCTAAGTAGGCGGATGCAGGGCGATGAGTTGGGAGGGAAATTAAGATTCTGTGCTGGGTCTGACACAAGCGGCGGTAGGGACAAGCTACAGAGCAGCCGCGAGGTCATCATCCGCTTGAAGGAGGAGGCCAGCCAACTCAGGTTCTTCCCGCCTTATCCATCCAGACAAACCCATGTTGTATACATTCATTGTACATCACACAGTTGGGTAAACATTTGCATTTTGTACTTTCTCCATTTGCAAACGAATTTGCTAAGGGCGCGTATTTGTGCAGGGGGAGGTGTGTTGAACGTGCTGGTGGAGAAGGGCAGGCTCGAACTTTCTAGGAGGTGGTTGACGTGGCACTATCTTTAGTTGGGTCATTAGTTTTTTTTGCGAAAATTCGTACAGCAGAGGTGAGCGTTTTTTAGTTCGGCGTGAGGTGCGGGACGGCTTCGATTTGGTCGTGGAATTCGTGCGTGGTGCTGAAAGGTCTGGATGGCTGGGCAGCAGGAAAAACAATTGGTGGATGAGAAAAGATTTACGTGAACCAATGGGAATGAAGGATGGTTTTGACACCCTGGCACGATCACCACGGCATTATCAATAACCCGAACCTCGACGTTCCGAACCTGCCACGTCCAATCCCTCACCCGTCATTGTCCAGAAAGTATAGCGAGGGTGTGACTTCTCGACCTGTTCTGCTTTTAGAAGTAGTTTCGCCGCTTTCAGTAGTAGTTTAGCAAGTGTTGCTCACTTTCTCGGTGGTACTTACTGTAAGTCGCTGTAGGCGCGTCTGTTGGCGTGCTAGCTGCATCAGATATGATAAGATGTCGCAGTACTCGTAAGAAGTTGCGCGATCCAGATCTGGCTTCTATTTACATGATGCGGACGGAATCGTAACTGGACGAATTAGTAGCGTCGATTTCGGACGCATCGGTGAGTTAGCGCGTTTCGTCGATTATACAGCGCGTTTCGACGACCTCGGAGCCTCGACGGTATCCTGAACGCAAGACGGGAAAAAGAGGGCGGGAGGTGAGTGGAGGTGAGAAGATGGGGAAATGGATGGTAAGGACTGGCGAAACGGCGAAGCGGCCACTTTCCCCTTGTTTTACGCTTCCCCCTCCCCTTTCCGCTCTCCCTTTCATCTTCCTGATTCTAGTGCGCGTCGATGGTACCCTGGACGCAAGACGATCAAAAGAGAGGCCGGGAGGTGGGTGGAGGGGAGAAAAGAAGGAATACACGGGTGAACGGTTTTAATTGAGGACGGAGAGGATTGGCAAAAGGTAAATGGCGAAGCGTCCACCCTTTGATCTCCCCTCCCCCTTCCCATTTCCCCGCTTTTTTGTCTCTCCCTTTCCCTCCCGTGACCTAGCCAAGAAACGTCTCCTCCACCCCCCCCCCCCCCCCCCCCTCCCCCCCGCCTCCCCTATCCCCCCTCCCTTCCCCTTCTCTCCCTTGTTTCCCTGTGGCCTAGCCCAGAAACGTCCTTTCTTCTCCCTCCCCCCTCCTTTCCTCCCTTCCCGTGCTTCCGCTTCTCTCCCTTTTTTCCCCTGTGTTCTGGCCTAGAAACGTCACGCATCTCTCAGCTCACCTTCTCGCTCATAATCCCCACTCTCCCCTCGTTTCCCCCGCTCTCCGTTCATTTCCGCTGCTCTCCCCTCATGTTCCCCGCTCTAGCTTCCCCTTCATATCACGCTCTGGCTGTTTCCGCCACGAGTGGTGCAGGCCAAGCTTCAGGCGAATCCGAGCCGTCCGTATCGGCTCAGATCCTCGAGATCGGGGAAGAGAGTTCCGGCGGGAAGTTTCTCGGAAGGTTCTTGCAGGATGACGTGTTTCCGAACCAGATAGTTCTCGAGGCGCAGGCGCGCGTGTGCACGGGACCCACGCAGACGCGGCCGCTGGGCGAGGAGGAGATGCGGCGCGTGTTGGAGCAGATCTTGCTCTCAGGTATGCCCTCAGGTGTTCTGTCAGGTGCGACCCCAGGTGTTCTGTCAGGTATGATTTCAGGTGTTCTGTCAGGTGTGATCTCAGGTGTTCCGTCAGGTGTTCCGTCAGGAGTCTCTCAGGCATGATAATGCGCATGTTCTCCTGTGCCACCTCCCCCCCCATCTCCCCCTCTCCAGGAGTCCATGTTGCTGCTGCAGAACCTGCTGCCTGCCCATGAGAGGTGGCTGTGAGGAGGAGGGATCGGGCGGAGTGAGTGACGCATTAGCGGCGGCATATCTGATTGCCGTGTGCATGAATGAACCGAGAGGCTGACAGAGAGCTCAAGGCCTTCTGCCTGGCCTTTGATCAGGTATGGGTGTAGTGGGGGGAGTTCCCAGTGCCATGCCTGTTGCGTGGCCTTTGACGTGGGGGGATGGGGTGACATGGAGGGAGTCAGCTTTGCACTGGTGGCAGCATATCTGATTGCTCCCACCCACCCGCCATCTAACCGTCTCCCCTCGCCTCTCGCCCCCTTGAGGAGCTGGGCCCAAGCTCAGGAGCACACGTGCCCTCAGTGACCCACTACAGGGAGCCCTACAGGGCTCGATGGCATGCCAGCATGCGCTGTTTCCGTCCGACCCTGTAAACACCCCCTTCCCCCACTCTCTCCCCTCGCCTCCCCTCCTCTTTCTGTCTCTCACTCCTCCTCCTCTACAGGAGATAGGCCCAGCCCCGATCGCAAGAGTGCCTTCACTGACCCCTACGACGGCAGCACGCGCTACCTCCGCCCGACACTTCATTTCTTTCCCCCCTGCGTCCCACCTTCTCCCCTGCCATCTTCAGGAGCTGAGCCCAGCCCCCATTGCAAGAGTGCCCTCCTTGACCCACTACGGGGAGCCCTACGATGGCAGCACGCGCTACTTCCGCCCGACGCTCTTCGTGGCAGCGGTCAGGGCGAGCTGTGGGGAGGCGTGCCTGCTGCATGGGGTGGACGCCTTTCCCCCCAAGGTGAGGGGCTAGAGGGGAAGGGGGCGGGGGGCGGAGGGGGTACCCTACGACAGCAGCGGCGAGCTGTGGAGAGGCGTGCTTGCTGCATGGGGTGGACGCCTTCCCTCCCAAGGTGAGAGACAGGGGGGAATAATTTCAGAGTGAGACGGTAGTGCAGAGAAGCACGGGAAAAAAAGGTCTGTTGATAGCCTGAAATGCTATCAACAACGTATAGTCTGGCAATGCTAATGCTGCTAGAGGCAGATCCAGTCTCTCCCTGTCTCGAGCTGCTGCAATCTGAATGTAAGGTGGACCCTAATGCTCCTTCACCATTCTCAGGAGGAGACGCCGCTTTGATCTCTCCTACCTCTCGTCACTGCAATCTCTGCCCTCAGCGACCTCTGCGAGTTGCAATCACTGTCTGTTGTGGTCCTGTGGCTTCTGCTGTCCATGTTTCTGCAGGTGCCTCAGGTGCGCATAGTGATTCTTGAGGCGTCTCAAAAATAGCCTGCTGTCCACATGGCCTATCTCAGCCTCAAGGACTGCTCTCCCTTAGAGCCACCACAAGAAGCCTCTATCCTCACGCTCTTATCTCCTCCATCTCTGCTATATATATGCCTGTGACCTTATATGCGGAGGCACATCCTTACTACGTTGTTCAAGATAGTAGCCCCGGTAAAATGCTAGACGTGAACACTTTATCTCAACTAGAATGTTATATTGGTATAAATGTAATTCTGCCGCATATTATATTATTGTGAATGTTTCTCTCATGCATGCTATATTGTTGCGAATGCAGTTATGATGCATGTTATATTGTTGTGAATCCGACTTGTGGTGGTGAGGGCATCAATGACGTCTCGCGGCACTTATGATTGGATGAGAACTCCACTATTTCGCTCGCTTCGTGCACCAATCACCTTCGCCCTGATACATTCCCACGAGCCACCTGGTACTACACCTGCGCTTTGACATTCCGCAAATCAAGGCGCCCATCCACCCTCCCTCGAGCTTTCCATGGCTCCACCTCGCATCGCTCGCCAACCTGGCTCTGTTTCTGAACCTTCCCGAGCACTCTGCCACGCCTTCTTTCTCCTTCCCTACGCCCTCAATTTCCGCTTTCCGCCTTGATTTATTTTCTTCAGGGGAGCTGCTGTGCTGTTCGCTGAACTTGGTTTTCGCTGTCCAGGTCAGCTTCGCTAGGTGCTACCAGCACATTTTTCACCATCGGCGGTGGACTTGGCCCGTACATGTTCTGACCATTTAGTAGCGGTATCCGTCCTCCCGGATGTATATTGCCTTGACTTGACACCGCCCGAGCCTTCGAGCCCATTCCCGTTGACCGTGATTTCCGTTCACGCATCTCGCAACTAGGGGCGTAGGGCCGAAGAATCTCGTCGTCAGTATCGCCACCGTGAGCGCATCGGCTCCATCCGGTAGTCCGCTAATGCCACTGGGCTGAAGTAGACTCTATTGACGCGTCAGCTCGTGCTCTCTTCTGATGGAATCGTCGGCTCTCAGTCCCGGTTCGTTACGCAGGACAACGTAATGGCATAGCAGCTGGCCTAGCGAGCGATATACAATAACGTAGGCATTCGTCGAAACAGATCGACGGAGGCGGCGCCTCCGCCTATCCCGTCTTGGGCTCCTCTCATTTAATACCACTTGCAAGATCAGCGTCTCGCAGCCATGGGTGTGCTTGACCGGACGAAGAAGGGCGACCAGAACAAAGGTTTGTCCATCGCAAATGCCATTTCTATCGACACTGTTTAACATATTCTACAGAATGTCATGTGATATCTAGCTTTAGGCTTTTGAAATCCAATCTAGGTTCAGGCTGAATGATTGATTGATGTGTCAATGTGTCAATGCAACCAGCTGATCGTGTAATCGTAAATTTTACTCCCACAAACGAGTCGACAATTCTTGCATGGCCACGTGGCATGAGCAGGCGGTGGCACGGTGGAGATGGGCGAAACCGGCGCGTGGCAGGCGGGCGGATTCGGCATCGACCCTGACGAACTCTCGCGAATGTCGCATCCGGGCGACTTCGCGAAATTGCAATCTCTAGGAGGAGTGAGTGGTCGTTGCTGTGTGTGTGCGCGCGCGCGTGTGTTGTGTGTGCGCGCGCGTTTACGGCGTGTGTGCGGCAAGCAGAGAAATACCCTCAGATACTCCCTCTCGTCATGCGAGTCACGGCGCAACAAATCCCCCCTCATCCATCCCCATACTGCACACACCCGACCTCCGCTTCCCCTCCAACCTTCCCCCTCTCCAAACCTCCCCACTTCTTCCCCTAACCCCCCCGGGCCACTGGGCTGCGTTGGCAGCTAGTGGGGGTGGCGGAGCGACTGCAGGTTGGACCCGCGGAAGGGCATCAGCGGCACGGACGAGGAAGTCAGCCGAGTGAAGAGCTAAAAGACTCTCCCCTCATCTCCCCCTCACTCCCCATCATTTCCCCCCTCCCTCCCCTCCCCACCCCCCCCCCACCGCAGCTAGCGGGGGTGGCGGAGCGGCTGCAGGTGGATCCGCGGAAGGGTATCAGCGGCACGGAGGAGGACGTTGCGCGCCGCCAGCTGCACTTCGGCGCCAACACGTACCCTGAGAAGCCCGGCAAGACCTTCTGGGTACGTGTCTGTGGCACTTCCCTCTGGGTCAGCGGTCAGTGGGTCAGTGGCAGTGGCCAGTGGGGTCCAGTCCAGTTGGTGCCAACACGTACCCTGAGAAGCCCGGCAAGACCTTCTGGGTACGCTTCCGTCTCAGGCGGTTAACATCTCAGCGTGGTTCAGCGTGGTTCAGCGTGGTTCAGTGTGGTTCAGCGTGGTTCAGTGTGGTTCAGTGTGGTTCAGTGTGGTTCAGTATGGTTCAGTGCGGTTCAGTGTGGTTCAGTGTGGTTCAGTGTGGTTCAGTGTGGTTCAGTGTGGTTCAATGGGTCAACGGTCAGTGGGACAGTGTGGCCCATTTCGGCGTCAACACGTGCCCCGAAAAGCCCGGCAAGACCTTCTGGGCACGTCCCTCTGGGGGTAGATGGTCAATGGGTCAGTGTCAACGGGTCAGTCAGTGTGAGTGGCTGTGACCAGTGTGGTCCAATTGCAGCCAACACGTACCCCGAGAAGCCCGGCAAGACCTTCTGGGTACGTCCGTGCATGTGGGTCAGTGGGTCAGTGGAAGGGAGGGAGGGAGCACAAAGACGCACGTCAAACCCCAAGCCTTAAACCCAGACTCTCTGTGCTGCCGTTGCTCTCTTCCCTGTGCGGCCCACCCTATGCCCCTCCGCCCTAAGCTTCTCCATTCTCCTCTCCCCCTTTTGCCCATCCCGGCAGTACTTGGTGTGGGAAGCCATGCAGGCCACGTTGGTGCTGCAGCGCAGATGCTCTTAGTGTGTGACAACCGGTGACCCGTCTCGCCTTACACACGCTGCAATCATCCTCCCCTACTCTCCCCTTCCCTCCTCCCATCCCACCCCAACAGTACTTCGTGTGGGAAGCCATGCAGGACACATTGGTGCAGATCCTGTTTGTGTGCGCCATCGCATCCATCGCACTAAGGCTCTCTATTCCCCTCCCCCACTCCAGTACTTCGTGTGGGAGGCAATGCAGGACACGTTGGTGCAGATCCTCTTTGTGTGTGCCATCGCATCCATCGCTGTCAGCATCCCCGCCGAGGGCTCCCTGGAGGGGCTCTATGACGGGCTGGGGATCTTCATCGCTCTCTTCCTCATCATCACTGTTGCTGGTAGGTGCTGTAGCTAACACATGCACACACACAGATACACGTCTCACCGTCACTGGTACGCACTGCTGCTGCACACTCACTTGGCTCCCTGGAGGGGCTGTACGACAGGCTGGGGATCTTCATCGCTCTCTTCCTCATCATCACTGTCGCTGGTAGGCAGTGGCACTGGTAGGCACCGTACCATCCTGGTAGGCACTGCTGCTGCACACCCACTTGCCCAATGGTGTCCGTGAACCATTGGGCTCCCTGGAGGGGCTGTACGATGGGCTGGGCATCTTCATCGCACTCGTCCTCATCATCACTGTTGCTGGTAGGTAACACATGGACACACACACATTCGCACGTGTCACTTGCTGCCAGTGAGCCCACTGGTACCGCCCGCTCTCCCTCGTCATCCTCCCTGGAGGGGCTGTACGATGGGCTGGGCATCTTCATCGCTCTCTTCCTCATCATCACTGTCGCTGGTAGGCAGTGGCACTGTTGCTGCTATGCTCTGCTGCTGGTAGCGCCCACGCACAGCCACACTTGTCCCATCTTCGCTGGTACGCACCGCTGCTGCACTCCCACTGGGCTCCCTGCATCATCATTGCCTCCACATGGGCTCTCCATCCCCTCACAATCCTTGCCAGTTGTTCCCCTTGAACCCCCCTGCGTGCGCCCATGTGTGTGTGGTGTGCAGCGAGATATGCAACTACCGGCAGGCAGTGCAGGTCCAGAAGCATTGAGGTGGTTCTTAAGGCGCCTCAGAAACCTCCTCCCATCCTCCTGTGTGCGCCCGTGTGTGTGCGTGTGCCCATGTGTGGTGTGCAGCGATCAGCAACTACCGGCAGGCCAGTGCAGTTCCAGAAGCATTGAGGTGGTTTTTATGGCGCCTCAAAAACCTCCTCCCATCCCCCTGTGTGCGCGCATGTGTGTGCGTGCGCCCATGTGTGGTGAGCAGCGATCAGCAACTACCGGCAGGCAGTGCAGTTCCAGAAGCTCAACCGCGAGAAGCAGAAGATCCAAATCGAGGTGAGGTGCCGCCGTGTCGCCCACTCAGAACAGGCTCCGCTGTTGCCATCCATGTTACCGTCTCGCCCTATTGTGCCCTCCCTAGCTGTGCCCATTCATGCCCTCCTAACCCACGCCCTTACATGCCTGTGCACCCTCACACACACCCTACGCCTCGTCCTGCTCCCCACAGGTGACACGGTCAGGGCGGCGGTGCAAGGTGTGGATAGACGACCTGGTGGTGGGCGATATCATCCACCTCTCCACCGGCGACCATGTGAGTCAACCATGCATGTGCTGGTGTACCCCCCCGGTACTTCTATCTCTGGTTGCCTCAAGGTGCTGCAAGGTGCTGCAAGGTGCTGCAAGGTGCTGCAAGGCGTGGATAGACGATCTGGTGATGGGGGATATCATCCACCTCTCCACGGGTGACCATGTGAGCTTGCCCCTTGCCTTGTATCTCAGCGCATGCCATGGCATTCTGCGATCTCCCACTCCCACATTGTGCTGGCTTTAGGATACACAAGTTCAAATGTAGTCTGTTTCTCACACTGTGTGCGCTCACTGTGTGCGTTGCTCTCTCTCTCTCGTGGCACACACAGGTGCCAACGGACGGGGTGGTGATGGAGGGACACTCGCTGGCAGTCAACGAGTCGAGCATCACAGGGGAGTCAGAGAACGTGAGTGCTGTGCTGCCCGCCTTGGCCCTCCACTCTCTGGCTTATGCGTTGGCACCAGCATTAACATTCACATCTGTTGTCAGTGGAGGGCCACTCGCTGGCAGTGAACGAGTCGAGCATCACAGGGGAGTCCGAGAACGTGAGTGCTGTGCTGCCCGCCTTGGCCCTCCACTCAATGGCTTATGCGTTGGCACCAGCATTAACATTCACATCTGTTGTCAGTGGAGGGCCACTCGCTGGCAGTGAACGAGTCGAGCATCACAGGGGAGTCCGAGAACGTGAGTGCTGTGCTGCCCGCCTTGGCCCTCCCCTCTATGGCTTATGCGTTGGCACCTGCATTAACATTCACATCTGTTGTCAGTGGAGGGCCACTCGCTGGCAGTGAACGAGTCGAGCATCACAGGGGAGTCCGAGAACGTGAGTGCTGTGCTGCCCGCCTTGGCCCTCCACTCTATGGCTTATGCGTTGGCACCAGCATTAACATTCACATCTGTTGTCAGTGGAGGGCCACTCGCTGGCAGTCAACGAGTCGAGCATCACAGGGGAGTCCGAGAACGTGAGTGCTGTGCTGCCCGCCTTGGCCCTCCCCTCTATGGCTTATGCGTTGGCACCTGCATTAACATTCACATCTGTTGTCAGTGGAGGGCCACTCGCTGGCAGTGAACGAGTCGAGCATCACAGGGGAGTCCGAGAACGTGAGTGCTGTGCTGCCCGCCTTGGCCCTCCACTCTATGGCTTATGCGTTGGCACCTGCATTAACATTCACATCTGTTGTCAGTGGAGGGCCACTCGCTGGCAGTCAACGAGTCGAGCATCACAGGGGAGTCCGAGAACGTGAGTGCTGTGCTGCCCGCCTTGGCCCTCCACTCTATGGCTTATGCGTTGGCACCAGCATTAACATTCACATCTGTTGTCAGTGGAGGGCCACTCGCTGGCAGTCAACGAGTCGAGCATCACAGGGGAGTCCGAGAACGTGAGTGCTGCCCTTTTGAGTGCCGCCCTTTTGTGGGTTGCCCTTCTAAGTGCTGCCCTTTCTAGTGCTGCCCTTTCTAGTGCTGCCGCTGGCAGTCAACGAGTCCAGCATCACAGGGGAGTCCGAGAACGTGAGTGCTGCCCTTTTCATTGCCGCCCATTTGAGTCCTCCTTTCAGTGAAGCACAGATCAGTGACGCCCTGTGCCATGCCACAATGCTGCTGTGCTGTGCTGTGCTGTGCTGTGCTGTGCTGTGCTGTGCTGTGCTTCGCTGTGGCATGCGGTTTGTGGTGTGGCATGATATGGTGCTGTGTTGTTCCATGGTGTGGTGTGGCATGATTTGGTGCCGTGTTGTGTTGTGCTGTGCGGTGCTGGGGTGTGGCAGATGCACAAGGACGAGGCCAGCCCCTTCATTCTCGCCGGCTGCACCATCATGGATGGATTCGGCGAGATGATGGTGAGTCGCCCTTGGGGGTCCTCACCAGAAGTTCACATCACAGGGAGCTAATGCTGAGATGCCGGTGAACCGTTCTAGTCAGACTGTCAGAACTTCGACCATGTATCTCCAACTTCAAACCTCTGCTCCCTCGATTTTCGTTAGACTCGAACCGAACCAGTTCAGTTGAGTTTATTGTTTTGCCAGATTGAGTTTGGTTGTTTCTCATGAATACCCGCCGCCTTGCCTACCTGTGTGTGTGCGTGCGTGTGCTTGTGTGAATGGCACCTCTTTCCACACTGCGTGCGTGCGTGCGTGCGTGCGTGCGTGCGTGCATGCATGGATGCATGTGTGCTGCATGGTGATCAGGTGACGGCAGTGGGCATGAGGACGGAGTGGGGCAAGGTGCTGGCAACCATCACAGAGGACAGCGACGAGCCCACACCGCTGCAGGTGGGGGAGGTGTGAGGCGAGCAGAGAGGAGAGGTGCAGGTGAGTGGTTGACTGGTAACGGTTGCACACTGCTGCATGAGGACGGAGTGGGGCAAGGTGCTGGCGACCATTACAGAGGACAGCGACGAGCCCACACCGCTGCAGGTCAGTGGGGAGGGGAGTGAGGTGGGCAGAGCAGCGGTGCAGGTGCGTGATTGCCAGGTAATGGTTGCGTGTGGGGCAAGGTGCTGGCGTCCATCACAGAGGACAGTGACGAGCCCACGCCACTGCAGGTTAGTTCGTTGGGGGTGTGAGGCGAGCAGAGGGAGAGGTGCAGGTTTGTGGTTGACGGGCAATGGCTGCACACTGCTGTATCATGAGGCAACACAGCCAGGCTGCTGTGGTTCGAATCCTTCTGTGTCCCCCCTCTGCCCTGCCCTCCACCAGGTGCGGCTGACCAGAGTGGCAGAGCTGCTGGGCATCATGGGCATCACTGTGGGCGTGCTCATTTTCCTCATCCTCAGTATAAGGTGTGTTCCTTACCGTCGCTGCTCTGGTTGGGAGCCGCTCTTTATTCACAAAAGTAATAAATATATAAAGAAGGAAGGAAAGAAAGAAAGACAAGTAAGAATGTTAAGGCGCGTGCAGTGTATAGCCGTTGGAAGTCTCAAGAAATGCCATCCCATGCCACACCACACCACACCACACCACACCACACCACACCACACCACACCACACCACACCACACCACACCACACCCCACACACACCACACCACACCACACCACACCACACCACACCACACCACACCACACCACACCACACCACACCACACCACACCACAAACCACACCACACCACACACCACACCACACACCACACCACACCACACACCACACCACACCACACCACACCACACCACACCACACCCCACACCACACCACACCACACCACACCCCACACACCACACCACACCACACCACACCACACCACACCACACCACACCACACCACACCACACCACACCACACCACACCACACCACACCCACACCACACCACACCCCACACCACACCACACCACACCACACCACACCACACCACACCACACCACACCACACCACACCACACCACACCACACCACACACCACACCACACCACACCACACCACACCACACCACACCACACCACACCACACCACACCACACACCACACCACACCACACCACACCACACCACACCACACCACACCACACACCACACCACACCACACCACACCCCACACCACACCACACCCCACACCACACCACACCACACCACACCACACCACACCACACCACACCACACCACACCACACACCACACCACACCACACCACACCACACCACACCACACCACACCACACCACACCACACCACACCACACCACACCACACACCACACCACACCACACCACACCACACCACACCACACCACACCATACCACACCACACCACACCACACCACACCACACCACACCACACCACATCACACCACACCACACCACACCACACCCTGCAGGTACCTGGTGACGGATGCAGACTTCAGCAACTTCACTGCCAATGACGTCAGCGTGCTGCTCAGCTACTTCACCATCGCGGTATGGCCTCACCCATCCCACCTCTCCCCCCATCCCTTTACCACTCACTCTGTCATTGCCACCAAGTGCTGTGTGTTTGCTTGCACTGCAACCGCTGCTGCGTGCTGCTCAGCTACTTCACCATCGCGGTATGCCACCTCTCCACCATCCCTCAACCGCTCACTCTCGTATTGCCACCCAAGTGCTGTGTGCTCGCACTGCAATGCTGCAACATGGCACATCCGATATCTGTCCTCCTGCCCGCCCCTCTCCGTGCTGGTCATTACGGTTACAGAAGGCCTTCCTCTCGCAGGCCTTCCCCTCGTAGGCCTTCCCCTCACAGGCCTTCCCCTCACAGGCCTTCCCCTCACAGACCTTCCCCTCAATGTCACCCTCCTATTGTGCCCAAGTGCAGTGCAGTCCCCCAAGGGCAGTGCAGTCGCCCAACTGCAGTGCAATGTAGCACTGGAATCACTGTCGTTCCTCCCCCCCATGCGCCCCTCTCCCCCCATCAGATCACAGTGCTGGTCATTGCAGTGCCAGAAAGCCTTCCCCGCGAGACTTTTGAGTCGACTCGAAAGTCAACCTCTCCGTCCCTCTCCCCATCCCCTCATCTCCCCCATCAGATCACAGTGCTGGTCATTGCAGTGCCAGAAGGCCTTCCCCTCGCTGTCACCCTCACGTAAGATCAGAAGCATTTCTTCAAATGGTAATTTCCCTGCCTGTTTAGCTCACTTTCCTGCTCACCCACCCATCCTTCCTCCTCCCCGCCTCTCTTTTCACACTTCTTTCCTCCCTCCTTTCCTGTTCCCCCCCTTGGTACCGGCATACCAGTCTGGCCTTCTCAGTGACAAAGATGATGGAGGATAATTCCCTGGTGAGATAAACAGTCATGTCCCTCTCTCTCATTCCCCTCACTGCTGCTGCCTGCTGCCACCTGCCAGTGCACTGCTATGTAAATCTCGCTGCATGTAAGTCGCTGCCCTGCATACCAGTCTGGCCTTCTCAGTGACCAAGATGATGGAGGATAATTTCCTGGTGAGCTCATGCTCATGGCTGTTTCGTTTCACCTTCTGTTGATGCCTGCTGCCACCCGCTGTTTCTGCTCTTCTATTTGTGCGCTGCTATTGGTGCATGAATTGCTGCTGGTACGTTGCCATGCAAATTTCACATGCGTGTTATCACATGCGTTCCGTGTGCCCTATGTGCTGCCCACTCGTCCCAGCCATCTGCAGTCGTGTGAGACCATGGGGTGTACCACCACCATTTGTGACTGTTGAGTCAACTCAAAAGTCGAAAATATTCACGTGCATGCTGTGTGCCATGTGCCATGTGATCTGCTTGCCCCCACCACCCCCACCAGGTGCAGCATCTGCAGTCATGTGAGACGATGGGATGCGCCACCACCATCTGTAGCAACAAGACCGGCACTCTCACTCTCTCCACACTTCCCCACTTGCTTTGTTCCATATGCCATGTGTGCTGCCCACTCACGCCCACCAGGTGCGGCACCTACAATCGTGTGAGACGATGGGATGCGCCACCACCATATGCAGCGACAAGACCGGCACGCTCACTCTCAACGAGGTGTGTGCTTTTGAGGTGCCTCACAAAGGGACTCGTGCGGCACATGGCAGCATGTGAGACGATGGGGTGTGACTTTTGAGTCGGCTCAAAAGTCACACAGCAGCATGTGAGACCATGGGGTGTGCCACCACCATCTGTAGCGACCGGCATGCTCACTCTCGATGAGGTCTCCTCTCTCTCTCTCTCTCTCTCTGCACTCCCTCCCTTGACAGACTCCCCCACTTGCCATTTCCCTTTCACACAAGTCATTGCACATGGCATAAGCATTCGGCATTCCACATGCCCACTGCCCTGCCCGTGCAAGCCCCCCTTGTGCTCCTCTCAACCTCTCTCATCCTCTCTCACACCCTCTTTTGCACCAACCATTCCGTCTTACCTCTCGCTCTCTCTCACTCCCCAGTGCCACCCATTCCTCCTTGCCTCCCATTCCCCTGCACCTCCCGTGTTCGCCCCCCCCACACACGCACACAGATGACAGTGGTGCAGGCGTGGGTGGCAGGCGACTTCCACAAGCCCCACAAGACCCACTCTCATGTGCCCGCGCCGCCCATTCACCCGCGCCTCTCATGTTCTCCCCATACACACATGCCTCCCCCCCCTCCACACAGATGACAGTGGTGCAGGCGTGGGTGGCAGGCGACTTCCACAAGCCCCACACCGTCCGCACTGGCGTCTCCACACCCGTCGCTCAGGTATGCCTGCCTCAGGTACACCCATGCCTCAGATACACCCATGGCTCAAATACACCCATGGCTCAAATACACCCATGGCTCAAATACACCCATGGCTCAGATACACCCATGGCTCAGATACACCCATGGCTCAGATATGCCTTGTCTGCTGCTGCTGCTGCTGCTGCTGCTGCTACGTCTGTCCCATGGCCCCACCGCGCCTCTCTCCTCCCCGCGCCACCTACCTGGGCTGTCCGACAATGCCTCCACTGCCTCCTGCCCCAACACGTCTCACACGCCCGAGTCCTCCTCTCCCCCTTTGCCATGTCTGTGCTCCCCCACGCAACAGCTGCTATACCAGGCCATCGCAGTCAACACCAGTGGATCCGTCGATGAGCCTCCGGTACCCTCTCTCCTCCTCACCTGAGTCACCTCACTCTCCTCCTCATCTTTCTCCTCACCAATCCCTCTTCCTCATCCCTCTCTCCTCCTCACCCCTCTCTCCCCATCATCACCCCTCCCCTTTACCCTTCTCTCCTCCTCACCCCCCTCTCCCCCCCATCCAAGCCTGCCATGCTATTCTTGCTGCTCTGCTCTGCTCTGCTCTGCTCTGCTCTGCTCACATCGTCTCACACAACCCCTCCATTATGTCGCCTCAACTTTTATCTTTCCATGGTTCACAAACCCCCCTCCCCTCGTTCCTCTCCTCACTCCCCTTCGCTCTTCTCTCCCTACATAATCTCTCTCCTTCTGCCTATCTCCCTCCTCCCCACACCCTGTGCTGCCACGTGGAAGGAGCAGGGCATGCCACCTGTCATCAGCGGCAGCCCCACAGAAAAGGCCATCCTCGCCTGGGGAGTCTCGGTAAGCCATCTCTCCCCATCTCTCCCACCCTCCACCCTCCCATACTGGATTCGTCCCTGAGAACTCTGCAGTTTGCCACTAACCCCATCCACCCCCATGTTCGATTCACACTCTTGACATTCTTTCAGAAATGCTGCCCTTCCCATCCTCTGCGAGGTGCCGGCAGTGCAGCCCTTCACCTCCGATGCTGCTGTGTCTTGCGCTAACCATTCCCCTACCCCTTCCCCATTTTGTCTCCCCCCAACCAGTTCGGAATGCGGTTCCATGAGACCAAGGGCCAGTACGAGGTGGTGGCGGTGCAGCCCTTCAGCTCCACGTCTGCTGAGTCATGTGCTAACCATTCCCCTTTCCCTCCACCACCCCTCACCATTTCCTCTTCGTCTCGTGTGCACCACCCAGTTCGGAATGCGCTTCCACGAGACCAAGGGCCAGTGCGAGGTGGTGGCAGTGCAGCCCTTCAGCTCCACACGCAAGCGCATGGGCGTGCTCATCCGCACCTCCGAATCCCCCACCACCACCACCGACTCCCTCACCGCCGCTTCTCCCTCCACCACCGGCACCACTGGCAGCACCAGCAGCGCAGGAACCGCCGGAAGCACCACCCCGGGGAGCCTGCGCGTGCACTGGAAGGGCGCAGCAGAGGTGGTGCTGCAGCACTGCGGGCACTACGTCAACTCCCTGGGCAGCATCGTGCCTCTCACCGAGCCCAAGCGCATGGAGCTAGAGCGAGCTCTGCGAGACATGGGAAAGGAGGCTCTGCGCACGCTGGGGTTCGCGTTTCGGGACTTTGACAAGCGCACGGGGGTGGAGGGGATGCCGAAGAGAGAGGACGGGAGCGTGGGGGTACCAGAGGACGATCTAGTGTATGTGGGGTTTGTGGGGATTAAGGACCCGTGTAGGGTGGAGGTGCCGGATTCGGTGCAGCACTGCCAGAACGCGGGGATTGTGGTGCGCATGGTGACAGGGGACAGTGTTGAGACGGCCACGGCTATCGCCACGGAGTGCGGGATTCTCACGGCGGGCGGCACTGTGATGGACGGTGCTCAGTTCCGTGCCATCCATGAAAACGACCTCCCCGCCACCGTTGACCGCCTGCAGGTGGGTGGCACACGGTGATGGGGGGTGGGAGGCATGCGCAGAGGGCTGTGCTGAGTGAGGCGAGCACACGAGGAATACATACAAGCTGCTTTTTCCCTCTGCATTCCTCACCTTTCCTCAGCTCCCTTACCCTTCTTCCCTCCCAGATGTTCAGGCCTGGACTTTGTTTCTGCGTCTGTGCACCAACTCTCTCGCTTCCCACCGTCCTGCCCTCCCACCCTCAATATTTCCTGCCTCAGGTGCTGGCACGTGCGTCCCCCACGGACAAGCTACAGCTGGTGCGGGCACTCAAGGAGATCTTGAGGTCATCTTATGGCCCCGCCCTCCCTCCCTTACCCTCCCGCCCTTCCACCCTCAACACCTTTGCCTCAGGTGCTGGCACGTGCGTCCCCCACGGACAAGCTACAGCTGGTGCGGGCGCTCAAAGAGATGGGGCATGTGGTGGCCGTCACTGGTGATGGCACCAACGATGCCCCTGCGCTGCATGAGGTATGTGTGTGTGAGGTGGGTGCATGGGGTGTGTTCATGGGTGGGTGGATGGGATAGATGTGATGTGATGGGTGCAGGAGGCTTCAAGCTACAGCTGGTGAGGGCGCTCAAGGAGATGGGGCATGTGGTGGCCGTCACAGGCGATGGCACCGACAACGCGCCTGCGCTGCATGAGGTGCGTGCTGTGGGTCACGGAGTATGTGGACGGGTGGATGGGTGGTTGGGTGGATGCGTTGATGGGTGGATGGGTGGATGGGTGGATGGGTGGATGGGTGGATGGGTGTATGGGTGTATGGGTGTATGTGATACGTGCATGCAGAATTAATGCTGTGCATGCATGCCCATGTGGCGCCCCAGCAGCAGCAGCAGCCACAGATGTGACAGGCATGGGGCAGTGCAGCACGGGCTTGCCAAAGAGAGAGAGAGTAAGCATCTGACAGCACGACTGCTACTGCGCCAGAACAACCCCAAGAAACCGGATTGGCCGGCCGTGACAGCACGACTCCGCCAGTTTTTCGAGGGCGAATGGGGAGCTTTATTCGAAGCAGCTCTGGCAGCTGTCGGCTCGGCCCCACCTCCGCGCCACCAGCCAGACGATTTAGGCAGGCGCTCCAGAGCAGAAGGTTTGGCGCGGCGTGGAAGTCTCCGTAGAGCAGTAATGGCGCTAGAGGCGACACCAGTGGCGTCAGCCTCGCCTGAGGTACTCGACGCACTGAAATCCAAACACCCACCCTCCACTGACGGGCCCATAGACTGGACCACAAGCCCAACAGTCACACCCACCTCCATCGACTTGGCGGCTTTCACGAAGCTGCTGTGCAGGACAGAAAACGGAGTAGGAGCCGGTCCATCAGGGATGACCTTCGAACACCTCAGAGATGCAGCCGTCACTAACGCCTCAGTCAACACTCACCTTCACGCACTCGTAAACACTATTATGCGAGGAGCACTTCCAGCTGAAATCAACGACCTACTCACATCATCCAGACTCCTCGCCTTGGAGAAACCCGGAGGAGGAACCAGACCCATAGCGATTGGCGAGTGCCTCCTCCGCCTCGCCGCCAAATCCGCGTTGTTTGCCATAGCCGACGCTGCCCGCACCTTCTTCCTCCCACTTCAGTTTGGGGTAGCTGTCCAGGGTGGAAGCGAGGCCATTATCCACGCGGCGAGAGCATACATGAGCGCGAATCAAGATGCACTCATCCTGCAAGCAGACTTAGTGAATGCATTCAATAGTATCAGCCGAGAGGCCATTATCAGGGCCATACGAGGGACTGACCTCGAACATTTGTTGCCGCTAGTCCGCCTCTCCTATGGAGCGCCATCAAAACTGTACCTAGGCGCTGAGTACGGATGTGAGCCGCTGCTAAGCCAAGCAGGCGTCCGCCAAGGCGACCCTCTTGGCCCCCTGCTATTCGCTGCTGGCATGCACCCCGCCCTCAAAACAACAGCGGCGGCATTCCCCACCGTCCTGTGCATGGCGTACGCGGACGACGTGTCGTTTCTCGGGGCAGCGGCAGACTGTGCTGCTGCATTCAACCACTTCACACTGCAGCTGAGGGGCGTGGGGCTGACTCATAACCCCGCGAAGTGTTCTGCCTGGAGCCGGAGCCGGGACGACGTGGCCATCCTACCTGACGGAGTCCCGTACAAAGCGGAAGGACTTCGCGTACTGGGCAGCCACATCGGCCCAGAAGACGGCGCATCCGCGTTCATACGAGAGCAGCTCTCCAAAATGGCCGCGCCACTGCCACAAATCGCAGGAATGAACCCACAGCTGGCCAATTTGCTCCTGACGCGGTGCATCTCGAGAAGAGTGTCATACCTGGCCCGCACCACCCCCCTTCACCTCCTCCCTGAGGCTGAATGGTCCCGCTGGGGCCACGCGCAACTCCTCACGCTCCTAGACGCATGCGGCGTTCACCACCCGAGGGGGGCGGAGGAAGAACAGCGGGTGTGGGGACAGGCTTCTCTGCCGCCATCCCTTGGGGGGATAGGCCTCACAGACCCCGCGGTGGAAGGCAAATACAGCTTCCTGGCCAGCTTTGTGCAAGCGCAGAACCTGCTCGGCACGCTCCCAGGACCCGCAAGCCTTCACCTGACCGGAACCTTAGCACGACCAGCTGTTGACATACCGGACCAGCACCAGCTCCAGCGATGGCTCCTCGACTGCGAGGCCTCATTAGGTCAGGCGGCTATAGAGCTGCTGGCGGCAGAGCGGGTTAAACCAACAGGCAGGCTGCAACACAGCCTGGCCTTGCTCATCCAGGGCAACCGCTACGCCGCACAGGTGGTGGCATCGAGGCAGATGGAACTGAACCCGCTCAAGGGCCACACGCAGCGGCTACTGTCTCTCACGGGATACGGAGCCGGGGATTGGTTGCTGGCCATCCCCTACATGCCCTCCCTCCGCCTCAGCCCAGAGCTGTTTGCCTTCGCCCTCCAATTCCGGCTAGGACTGCCCCTCCCCGTACCAGACCGCTGCGACTGCCGTGACAGGACTGCTATCCTGGATAAACGGCTACCCAACCACCTCCTTCGCTGCGGCACGGGACATGGACGGACGGACACACACAACGGAATCAGAGATGAATGCATACGCATGGCTCAAGATGCGGGGTTTACGGTGCACAAGGAGACAATAGCTTTCTGCCCCGTGGATAAGCAAAAGGCGGATTTGGCAATCCGGGACCCTACCTCAGGCGCGGTACACATCTGTGACGTCACGGTCACCGACCCAATCAGCAGCCGTGACAAGGAAGCTACCAAGGGGCGGGGATGGATGGCGCGGGAGATGGCAGACAAGAAGATAGACCACTACCGGACGCGCCTACCTTGGGTGGGGTTCTTCCCACTAGCGGTAGAAACCTACGGGTGCCCTTGCGAGGAGGTCCACACCTTCCTCAAGCTGCTAGCTGACTCGGCTGCCAGGAACCTTTTCAACGCGGACCCTAGCTCCTACCAGGCAGCAAAAATGCTGCACCAGTACCGGCAGCGATGGTCTGTCGCCCTGCAGAGGGGACAGGCGCTCAGCTACCTCAAGAAGTTGAATTTGGCGGCACGCGCGGAGAACCCTCCGGTAGGATGGCAAGAGGGGGTGCTGAACCCAGGGGATTGCTTTGCAACCCTGGAGGGCTAGAAAGGGCAGAGAATAGAATGGTTAGGGCCACATGTCTAGGCCTAGATCACACTTGCTTTGCACCTGCCTGTACCTCCCTTTATACATCAATGAAAGGACCGTTCGAGAGTAAGCATCATTCTTCCATCCTGGGCAACACCTTAATACGCACAACACGTCTCCCCTCACCCCCCTCCCGCACACACAGGCGGACATAGGCCTTGCAATGGGGAAGTGCGGGACAGAGGTGGCGAAGGAGAGTGCGGACATCATAATCCTGGACGACAACTTTGCATCCATAGTGCGCACCGTGGTGTGGGGGCGCTCTGTCTTCGCCAACATACAGCGCTTCCTGCAGTTCCAAATCACTGTGAATTGTGTGGCGCTGACGCTCAACTTCATCTCCGCCGTTGTCACAGGGGACGCGCCCCTTACGGCAGTGCAGGTGAGTAGGAGCTGAGTGGCAGCTGTGTGCTGTGTGCTGTGCTGTGTCTGTGTGCTGTGTCTGTGTGGTGTGGGGGCGCTCTGTGTTTGCCAACATACAGCGCTTCCTGCAGTTCCAGATCACCGTCAACTGCGTCGCCCTCACTCTCAACTTCATCTCCGCCTTCGTCACTGGGGATGCGCCTCTCACGGCTGTACAGGTGCGTACCAGCTTTGTTGCTGAGAATCGACTATGCACCGTTGAGTCAACTCACTGTATTGCTGGCCAGAAGTGCGTGGCACCTTGCATGCACTCACGTCTCGTGCTCAACTGGCCCTTGCCCCTTCATTTCACCCTTTCCCCCACCCCTCGTGCTATCCAGATGCTGTGGGTTGACTTGATTCAGGACACGTTGGGAGCGCTAGCCCTGGCCACAGAGCCGCCCTCCGACAAGCTGCTGGAGCAGCCGCCCGTGGGGCGCAGCCAGCCAGGAGCTCATTTCCCCCTCCTCTGCACCCTTATCCCCTCCTCCTCAACCCCTTCTTCCCCTGTTCTTCAGATGCTCTGGGTAGATCTGATTCAGGACACACTAGGAGCGCTCGCACTCGCCACCGAGCCCCCCTCCGACAAGCTGCTGGAGCAGCCGCCTGTGGGGCGCAGCCAGGAGCTGGTATCCGCCGCCATGTGGCGCAACATCATTGGGCAGACGGTGTACCAGCTGTCGCTGCTGTGCGTGCTGTGGTTCAAAGGCATGGAGCTGCTTCAGCTGCCGGGACCTCCAGGCGTGCCGCGGGTGATCGCCAAGGGGGGAGAGGAGATTTCTGAAGGGGAGAAGCAGCTTGTTACCATCATCTTCTCCTCCTTCGTCTTCATGCAGGTGGGTTGGGGGTTGGGTGTGATGGCAATGGGACTGCTGTGCGTGCTGTGGTTCAAAGGCATGGAGATGCTGCAGCTGCCGGGGCCCCCAAGTGTGCTGAGGGTGATTGCCAAGGGCGGGGAGTACATATCGGAAGGGGAGAAGCAGCTCGTTACCATCATCTTCTCCTCATTCGTCTTCATGCAGGTGTGAAGGGGGCATCACAAAGTTGCCTTTGTGCTGGTGTACGTGGTACAAGGGGGGAGGGGTGGGAATGGGTGCAAAGGGTGGGGTTGGGGGTGGTGGTGATGGGACTAGTGGCTTGTATGTAAGTATGGTACCCATGAGCCATGTATTGGTTCGTAGTGGGAGATGATGGGATATGCAAGTTGAGCTCTGGAGCACCTTCCACCGTTCCTTCTCCCCCACGTGGCAAGGCCGATATTCAACCAGCTGAACTCGCGCAAGCTGGAGGAGTGGAACTGTGTGGCACAAGGTCAGAACTAACTACCCACTAACCTCTCCCATCCCTCTGTCCTTCCACCTTCAACACCCCCCTTCGTCACCCACGACTCATCAGATATTCAACCAGCTGAACTCGCGCAAGTTGGAGGAGTGGAACGTGTTTGAGGGGTTGCTGGGTGGTGCAGGTTCAAAAGCACCACCTCGCCGTTCCCCATCCCTCAGCACCCTACCCTTGCCACTCCGCCCATCAGATATTCAACCAGCTGAACTCGCGCAAGTTGGAGGAGTGGAACGTGTTTGAGGGGCTGCTCACCAACCGCCTCTTCATCCTCATCGTCGCCATCGAGCTCTCCGTGCAGGTCAGTGCTGGTCAAGCTTAACACCGCTGGTCCATACAGGTCAATGCAGGTCAATGCTAGTCACTGCCGGTTACTGCAGTCACTGTGGTCACTGCAGGTCACTGCAGGTCAGTGCAGGTCAGTGCGGGTCACTGCAGGTCAGTGCAGGTCAGTGCAGGTCAGTGCGGGTCACTGCAGCTCTGGGGGAACTCCCCTATCATGTGCGCCTCACGTGACCTCCATGTCCCGCCCCAATGAATCCAGCCTTTGCTCACTCTCCCCCCCTTCCTCTCCCTCCCCCTTGCCCCACACTGCACCCCCAGGTGCTGCTGGTGGAGCTGATGGGCAAGTTCGCGGGCTGTGTGCAGCTGACATAATGTGACAGTGCCCCCCTATGCCCACTCTCTTATCTTTCCCCCCCTCCCTCTCCTGCGCCTCACTACCCTCAATCCCCAGGTGCTGCTGGTGGAGCTGCTGGGAAAGTTCGCGGGCTGTGTGCAGCTGACGATGCTGCAGTGGACTCTCTGCTTCGTGCTGGGGGCTGGCTGCGTGCCCTTCGGCATGCTCACCAAACTCATCCCCCTGCCAGGTACGGCAGGAGCATGGCACTGTATGCACGGTACATACGTATGATATGATGGTAAGCTTGAAATCCCAGGCTGTGTGCAGCTGACGATGCTGCAGTGGGCTCTGTGCTTCGCCTTGGGGGCTGGCTGCGTGCCCTTCGGCATGCTCACCAAACTCGTCCCCCTGCCAGGTACGGCAGGAGCATGGCACTGTATGCACGGTACATACGTATGATATGATGGTAAGCTTGAAATCCCAGGCTGTGTGCAGCTGACGATGCTGCAGTGGGCTCTGTGCTTCGCCCTGGGGGCTGGCTGCGTGCCCTTCGGCATGCTCACCAAGCTCGTCCCCCTGCCAGGTATGCTTCACATTGCATGCATGCTTCTACACTTGAGGACAAATGTATGGTACGGTACATGTACGGGAAGCATGGGGTATGCACTCCAAGCTCACCCCCCTGCCAGGTATGCTTCACATTGCATGCATGCTTCTACACTTGAGGACAAATGTATGGTACGGTACATGTACGGGAAGCATGGGGTATGCACTCCAAGCTCGTCCCCCTGCCAGGTATGCTTCACATTGCATGCATGCTTCTACACTTGAGGACAAATGTATGGTACGGTACATGTACGGGAAGCATGGGGTATGCACTCCAAGCTCACCCCCCTGCCAGGTATGCTTCACATTGCATGCATGCTTCTACACTTGAGGACAAATGTATGGTACGGTACATGTACGGGAAGCATGGGGTATGCTCTCCAAGCTCACCCCCCTGCCAGGTATGCTTCACATTCTATGCATACTGGTACGCTTGGTTGGAACTTCATTCATGGTACACTGCCATGTTCTGTACACTATCTCCAGTCATGTATTCCTGGAAATGACACTGACTGTTTCCCTCCCAAACACTCCCCTTGCCTTGTCCATGCCTCATCATTCTATCTGCAGGAAAACGCCACGCTCGGAAGAAGATACTTTTTGGCCGGAATGCAAACCAGGGCTTTGAGCGCCTCGACGAAGCCCAATGATTGGATGCTCTCTAAGGTTTATCGGAAAATGTTTAGTCTTACCACAAAGGAGGCTTCAAAATGTCAAGCCTCTTGCATGCAAATTTTGAACCTATGGGGCATGGTAATATTGGCTTACGAAAATTCCACAAAACGCTGAACATTTTATATAGAGGGGGAAATAAGTCACTGAAGTTGAAGCTGTTTGAATTTTATGGTTAGGCTCTACTCAAATTTTCTGATAACTGACTTGAGATCGTAACACAAACATCACTACGTCGAAGTGTTGTTGAGATGGACAATGCGGTAAGAGCAGACATGCAGGTAGCGAGGACGTCTGGGTGGGAGCTTCTTGGTCGTTCCTCGCGCCACTTCAAATCGCTCCCGCAATTCGCGCCGTCGACTGCTCAGCCAATTGCTCTCTTGCAGTCATTTTCATTAGCGTCCAATCCGTTTAGCTGCGCGTTTCTCACCCTTTCTCGTCGCCCTCACAAGTGCCGCGTCATTCGCGCCGTCGACTGCTTAGCTGCGCGTTTCTCACCCTTTCTCGTCCGCCTCACGAGTGTCGCGTCGTGCGAATCGCTGTGATGTCAGCAGCAGCGGCGGCGGGCCGCGCCGCGTGGTTCGACGCGCACTGCCATCTGCAGGACCCGCGCATCGCCGCGCGCGCCGCGCGCATCGTGGGCGACGCGGCCGACGCGGGCGTCCAATGGATGGTCTGCAACGGCACGCATGAGGTCAGCGTGTGCGTAGTGACGTCAGTATTGACAGGAGTCGTGTCAACACCTCTTTATGACCTCCCCTCAACCCCACCCATTCTTCCTCTTTCCCCCCCCCCCCCCCCCCCCCCATCACCCCCGCGCCCTCTCCCTCTCCCAAGAAGGAGAGAAAAATAAGAGCTTCCTACTCCCATACTCCCATGCGCGCCCTCATGCCCCCATGCCCGCATAACCCCATGCCCCCATGCCCGCATAACCCCATGCCCCCATGCCCGCATAACCCCATGCCCCCATGCCCGCATAACCCCATGCCCCCATGCCCGCATAACCCCATGCCCCCATGCCCGCATAACCCCATGCCCCCATGCCCGCATAACCCCATGCCCCCATGCCCGCATAACCCCATGCCCCCATGCCCGCATAACCCCATGCCCCCATGCCCGCATAACCCCATGCCCCCATGCCCGCATAACCCCATGCCCCCATGCCCGCATAACCCCATGCCCCATGCCCGCATAACCCCATGCCCCCATGCCCGCATAACCCCATGCCCCCATGCCCGCATAACCCCATGCCCCATGCCCGCATAACCCCATGCCCCATGCCCGCATAACCCCATGCCCCCATGCCCGCATAACCCCATGCCCCCATGCCCGCATAACCCCATGCCCCCATGCCCGCATAACCCCATGCCCCCATGCCCGCATAACCCCATGCCCCCATGCCCGCATAACCCCATGCCCCCATGCCCGCATAACCCCATGCCCCCATGCCCGCATAACCCCATGCCCCCATGCCCGCATAACCCCATGCCCCCATGCCCGCATAACCCCATGCCCCCATGCCCGCATAACCCCATGCCCCCATGCCCGCATAACCCCATGCCCCCATGCCCGCATAACCCCATGCCCCATGCCCGCATAACCCCATGCCCCATGCCCGCATAACCCCATGCCCCATGCCCGCATAACCCATGCCCCATGCCCGCATAACCCATGCCCCATGCCCGCATAACCCCATGCCCCCATGCCCGCATAACCCCATGCCCCCATGCCCGCATAACCCCATGCCCCCATGCCCGCATAACCCCATGCCCCCATGCCCGCATAACCCCATGCCCCCATGCCCGCATAACCCCATGCCCCCATGCCCGCATAACCCCATGCCCCAATGCCCGCATAACCCCATGCCCCATGCCCGCATAACCCCATGCCCCCATGCCCGCATAACCCCATGCCCCCATGCCCGCATAACCCCATGCCCCCATGCCCGCATAACCCCATGCCCCATGCCCGCATAACCCCATGCCCCCATGCTCCCATAACCCCATGCCCCCATGCCCGCATAACCCCATGCCCCCATGCCCGCATAACCCCATGCCCCCATGCCCGCATAACCCCATGCCCCCATGCCCGCATAACCCCATGCCCCATGCCCGCATAACCCCATGCCCCCATGCCCGCATAACCCCATGCCCCCATGCCCGCATAACCCCATGCCCCCATGCCCGCATAACCCCATGCCCCCATGCCCGCATAACCCCATGCCCCCATGCCCGCATAACCCCATGCCCCCATGCCCGCATAACCCCATGCCCCCATGCCCGCATAACCCCATGCCCCCATGCCCGCATAACCCCATTCCCCCATGCCCGCATAACCCCATGCCCCATGCCCGCATAACCCCATGCCCCATGCCCGCATAACCCCATGCCCCATGCCCGCATAACCCCATGCCCCATGCCCGCATAACCCCATGCCCCCATGCCCGCATAACCCCATGCCCCCATGCTCCCATAACCCCATGCCCCATCACCGCATAACCCCATGCCCCCATGCTCCCATAACCCCATGCCCCATGCCCGCATAACCCCATGCCCCCATGCTCCCATAACCCCATGCCCCATGCCCGCATAACCCCATGCCCCCATGCTCCCATAACCCCATGCCCCATGCCCGCATAACCCCATGCCCCCATGCTCCCATAACCCCATGCCCCATGCCCGCATAACCCCATGCCCCCATGCCCGCATAACCCCATGCCCCCATGCCCGCATAACCCCATGCCCCCATGCCCGCATAACCCCATGCCCCCATGCCCGCATAACCCCATGCCCCCATGCCCGCATAACCCCATGCCCCCATGCCCGCATAACCCCATGCCCCCATGCCTGCATAACCCCATGCCCCCATGCCCGCATAACCCCATGCCCCCATGCCCGCATAACCCCATGCCCCCATGCCCGCATAACCCCATGCCCCATGCCCGCATAACCCCATGCCCCATGCCCGCATAACCCCATGCCCCCATGCTCCCATAACCCCATGCCCCATCACCGCATAACCCCATGCCCCCATGCTCCCATAACCCCATGCCCCATGCCCGCATAACCCCATGCCCCCATGCTCCCATAACCCCATGCCCCATGCCCGCATAACCCCATGCCCCCATGCTCCCATAACCCCATGCCCCATGCCCGCATAACCCCATGCCCCCATGCTCCCATAACCCCATGCCCCATGCCCGCATAACCCCATGCCCCATGCCCGCATAACCCCATGCCCCATGCCCGCATAACCCCATGCCCCATGCCCGCATAACCCCATGCCCCATGCCCGCATAACCCCATGCCCCCATGCCCGCATAACCCCATGCCCCCATGCCCGCATAACCCCATGCCCCCATGCTCCCATAACCCCATGCCCCATCACCGCATAACCCCATGCCCCCATGCTCCCATAACCCCATGCCCCATGCCCGCATAACCCCATGCCCCCATGCTCCCATAACCCCATGCCCCATGCCCGCATAACCCCATGCCCCATGCCCGCATAACCCCATGCCCCATGCCCGCATAACCCCATGCCCCATGCCCGCATAACCCCATGCCCCATGCCCGCATAACCCCATGCCCCCATGCCCGCATAACCCCATGCCCCCATGCCCGCATAACCCCATGCCCCCATGCCCGCATAACCCCATGCCCCCATGCCCGCATAACCCCATGCCCCCATGCCCGCATAACCCCATGCCCCCATGCCCGCATAACCCCATGCCCCCATGCCCGCATAACCCCATTCCCCCATGCCCGCATAACCCCATGCCCCCATGCCCGCATAACCCCATGCCCCCATGCCCGCATAACCCCATGCCCCATGCCCGCATAACCCCATGCCCCATGCCCGCATAACCCCATGCCCCATGCCCGCATAACCCCATGCCCCCATGCCCGCATAACCCCATGCCCCCATGCCCGCATAACCCCATTCCCCCATGCCCGCATAACCCCATGCCCCATGCCCGCATAACCCCATGCCCCATGCCCGCATAACCCCATGCCCCATGCCCGCATAACCCCATGCCCCATGCCCGCATAACCCCATGCCCCATGCCCGCATAACCCCATGCCCCCATGCCCGCATAACCCCATGCCCCCATGCTCCCATAACCCCATGCCCCATCACCGCATAACCCCATGCCCCCATGCTCCCATAACCCCATGCCCCATGCCCGCATAACCCCATGCCCCCATGCTCCCATAACCCCATGCCCCATGCCCGCATAACCCCATGCCCCCATGCTCCCATAACCCCATGCCCCATGCCCGCATAACCCCATGCCCCCATGCTCCCATAACCCCATGCCCCATGCCCGCATAACCCCATGCCCCCATGCCCGCATAACCCCATGCCCCCATGCCCGCATAACCCCATGCCCCATGCCCGCATAACCCCATGCCCCATGCCCGCATAACCCCATGCCCCCATGCCCGCATAACCCCATGCCCCCATGCCCGCATAACCCCATGCCCCCATGCCCGCATAACCCCATGCCCCCATGCCCGCATAACCCCATGCCCCCATGCCCGCATAACCCCATGCCCCCATGCCCGCATAACCCCATGCCCCATGCCCGCATAACCCCATGCCCCATGCCCGCATAACCCCATGCCCCCATGCTCCCATAACCCCATGCCCCATCACCGCATAACCCCATGCCCCCATGCTCCCATAACCCCATGCCCCATGCCCGCATAACCCCATGCCCCCATGCTCCCATAACCCCATGCCCCATGCCCGCATAACCCCATGCCCCCATGCTCCCATAACCCCATGCCCCATGCCCGCATAACCCCATGCCCCCATGCTCCCATAACCCCATGCCCCATGCCCGCATAACCCCATGCCCCATGCCCGCATAACCCCATGCCCCATGCCCGCATAACCCCATGCCCCATGCCCGCATAACCCCATGCCCCATGCCCGCATAACCCCATGCCCCCATGCCCGCATAACCCCATGCCCCCATGCCCGCATAACCCCATGCCCCCATGCTCCCATAACCCCATGCCCCATCACCGCATAACCCCATGCCCCCATGCTCCCATAACCCCATGCCCCATGCCCGCATAACCCCATGCCCCCATGCTCCCATAACCCCATGCCCCATGCCCGCATAACCCCATGCCCCATGCCCGCATAACCCCATGCCCCATGCCCGCATAACCCCATGCCCCATGCCCGCATAACCCCATGCCCCATGCCCGCATAACCCCATGCCCCATGCCCGCATAACCCCATGCCCCATGCCCGCATAACCCCATGCCCCCATGCCCGCATAACCCCATGCCCCCATGCTCCCATAACCCCATGCCCCATCACCGCATAACCCCATGCCCCCATGCTCCCATAACCCCATGCCCCATGCCCGCATAACCCCATGCCCCCATGCTCCCATAACCCCATGCCCCATGCCCGCATAACCCCATGCCCCATGCTCCCATAACCCCATGCCCCATGCCCGCATAACCCCATGCCCCATGCTCCCATAACCCCATGCCCCATGCCCGCATAACCCCATGCCCCCATGCTCCCATAACCCCATGCCCCATGCCCGCATAACCCCATGCCCCCATGCTCCCATAACCCCATGCCCCATGCCCGCATAACCCCATGCCCCATGCTCCCATAACCCCATGCCCCATGCCCGCATAACCCCATGCCCCCATGCTCCCATAACCCCATGCCCCATGCCCGCATAACCCCATGCCCCCATGCTCCCATAACCCCATGCCCCATGCCCGCATAACCCCATGCCCCCATGCTCCCATAACCCCATGCCCCATGCCCGCATAACCCCATGCCCCATGCTCCCATAACCCCATGCCCCATGCCCGCATAACCCCATGCCCCATGCTCCCATAACCCCATGCCCCATGCCCGCATAACCCCATGCCCCCATGCCCGCATAACCCCATGCCCCCATGCCCGCATAACCCCATGCCCCCATGCCCGCATAACCCCATGCCCCATGCCCGCATAACCCCATGCCCGCATAACCCCATGCCCCATGCCCGCATAACCCCATGCCCCCATGCCCGCATAACCCCATGCCCCCATGCCCGCATAACCCCATGCCCCCATGCCCGCATAACCCCATGCCCCCATGCCCGCATAACCCCATGCCCCCATGCCCGCATAACCCCATGCCCCCATGCCCGCATAACCCCATGCCCCCATGCCCGCATAACCCCATGCCCCCATGCCCGCATAACCCCATGCCCCATGCCCGCATAACCCCATGCCCCATGCCCGCATAACCCCATGCCCCATGCCCGCATAACCCCATGCCCCATGCCCGCATAACCCCATGCCCCATGCCCGCATAACCCCATGCCCCCATGCCCGCATAACCCCATGCCCCCATGCCCGCATAACCCCATGCCCCCATGCCCGCATAACCCCATGCCCCATGCCCGCATAACCCCATGCCCCATGCCCGCATAACCCCATGCCCCATGCCCGCATAACCCCATGCCCCATGCCCGCATAACCCCATGCCCCATGCCCGCATAACCCCATGCCCCCATGCCCGCATAACCCCATGCCCCCATGCCCGCATAACCCCATGCCCCCATGCTCCCATAACCCCATGCCCCATGCACCGCATAACCCCATGCCCCCATGCTCCCATAACCCCATGCCCCATGCCCGCATAACCCCATGCCCCCATGCTCCCATAACCCCATGCCCCCATGCCCGCATAACCCCATGCCCCATGCCCGCATAACCCCATGCCCCATGCCCGCATAACCCCATGCCCCATGCCCGCATAACCCCATGCCCCATGCCCGCATAACCCCATGCCCCCATGCCCGCATAACCCCATGCCCCATGCCCGCATAACCCCATGCCCCATGCCCGCATAACCCCATGCCCGCATACCCCATGCCCCATGCCCGCATAACCCCATGCCCCCATGCCCGCATAACCCCATGCCCCCATGCCCGCATAACCCCATGCCCCCATGCCCGCATAACCCCATGCCCCCATGCCCGCATAACCCCATGCCCCCATGCCCGCATAACCCCATGCCCCCATGCCCGCATAACCCCATGCCCCCATGCCCGCATAACCCCATGCCCCCATGCCCGCATAACCCCATGCCCCCATGCCCGCATAACCCCATGCCCACATGCCCGCATAACCCCATGCCCCATGCCCGCATAACCCCATGCCCCATGCCCGCATAACCCCATGCCCCATGCCCGCATAACCCCATGCCCCATGCCCGCATAACCCCATGCCCCCATGCCCGCATAACCCCATGCCCCCATGCCCGCATAACCCCATGCCCCCATGCCCGCATAACCCCATGCCCCCATGCCCGCATAACCCCATGCCCCCATGCCCGCATAACCCCATGCCCCCATGCCCGCATAACCCCATGCCCCCATGCCCAACCCCATGCCCCCATGCCCGCATAACCCCATGCCCCCATGCCCGCATAACCCCATGCCCCCATGCCCGCATAACCCCATGCCCCCATGCCCGCATAACCCCATGCCCCATGCCCGCATAACCCCATGCCCCATGCCCGCATAACCCCATGCCCCATGCCCGCATAACCCCATGCCCCCATGCCCGCATAACCCCATGCCCCCATGCTCCCATAACCCCATGCCCCATCACCGCATAACCCCATGCCCCATGCCCGCATAACCCCATGCCCCATGCCCGCATAACCCCATGCCCCCATGCCCGCATAACCCCATGCCCCCATGCTCCCATAACCCCATGCCCCATGCCCGCATAACCCCATGCCCCCATGCTCCCATAACCCCATGCCCCATGCCCGCATAACCCCATGCCCCCATGCTCCCATAACCCCATGCCCCATGCCCGCATAACCCCATGCCCCATGCCCGCATAACCCCATGCCCCATGCCCGCATAACCCCATGCCCCATGCCCGCATAACCCCATGCCCCATGCCCGCATAACCCCATGCCCCCATGCCCGCATAACCCCATGCCCCCATGCCCGCATAACCCCATGCCCCATGCCCGCATAACCCCATGCCCCATGCCCGCATAACCCCATGCCCCATGCCCGCATAACCCCATGCCCCCATGCCCGCATAACCCCATGCCCCCATGCTCCCATAACCCCATGCCCCATCACCGCATAACCCCATGCCCCCTGCTCCCATAACCCCATGCCCCATGCCCGCATAACCCCATGCCCCCATGCTCCCATAACCCCATGCCCCATGCCCGCATAACCCCATGCCCCCATGCTCCCATAACCCCATGCCCCATGCCCGCATAACCCCATGCCCCATGCCCGCATAACCCCATGCCCCATGCCCGCATAACCCCATGCCCCATGCCCGCATAACCCCATGCCCCATGCCCGCATAACCCCATGCCCCCATGCTCCCATAACCCCATGCCCCATGCCCGCATAACCCCATGCCCCATGCCCGCATAACCCCATGCCCCCATGCCCGCATAACCCCATGCCCCCATGCTCCCATAACCCCATGCCCCATGCCCGCATAACCCCATGCCCCCATGCTCCCATAACCCCATGCCCCATGCCCGCATAACCCCATGCCCCCATGCTCCCATAACCCCATGCCCCATGCCCGCATAACCCCATGCCCCATGCCCGCATAACCCCATGCCCCATGCCCGCATAACCCCATGCCCCATGCCCGCATAACCCCATGCCCCCATGCCCGCATAACCCCATGCCCCCATGCCCGCATAACCCCATGCCCCATGCCCGCATAACCCCATGCCCCATGCCCGCATAACCCCATGCCCCATGCCCGCATAACCCCATGCCCCCATGCCCGCATAACCCCATGCCCCCATGCTCCCATAACCCCATGCCCCATCACCGCATAACCCCATGCCCCCATGCTCCCATAACCCCATGCCCCATGCCCGCATAACCCCATGCCCCCATGCTCCCATAACCCCATGCCCCATGCCCGCATAACCCCATGCCCCCATGCTCCCATAACCCCATGCCCCATGCCCGCATAACCCCATGCCCCATGCCCGCATAACCCCATGCCCCATGCCCGCATAACCCCATGCCCCATGCCCGCATAACCCCATGCCCCATGCCCGCATAACCCCATGCCCCCATGCTCCCATAACCCCATGCCCCATGCCCGCATAACCCCATGCCCCATGCCCGCATAACCCCATGCCCCATGCCCGCATAACCCCATGCCCCATGCCCGCATAACCCCATGCCCCATGCCCGCATAACCCCATGCCCCCATGCCCGCATAACCCCATGCCCCCATGCCCGCATAACCCCATGCCCCCATGCCCGCATAACCCCATGCCCCCATGCCCGCATAACCCCATGCCCCCATGCCCGCATAACCCCATGCCCCCATGCCCGCATAACCCCATGCCCCCATGCCCGCATAACCCCATGCCCCCATGCCCGCATAACCCCATGCCCCCATGCCCGCATAACCCCATGCCCCCATGCCCGCATAACCCCATGCCCCCATGCCCGCATAACCCCATGCCCCATGCCCGCATAACCCCATGCCCCATGCCCGCATAACCCCATGCCCCCATGCCCGCATAACCCCATGCCCCCATGCCCGCATAACCCCATGCCCCCATGCCCGCATAACCCCATGCCCCCATGCCCGCATAACCCCATGCCCCCATGCCCGCATAACCCCATGCCCCCATGCCCGCATAACCCCATGCCCCCATGCCCGCATAACCCCATGCCCCCATGCCCGCATAACCCCATGCCCCATGCCCGCATAACCCCATGCCCCATGCCCGCATAACCCCATGCCCCATGCCCGCATAACCCCATGCCCCATGCCCGCATAACCCCATGCCCCCATGCCCGCATAACCCCATGCCCCCATGCTCCCATAACCCCATGCCCCATCACCGCATAACCCCATGCCCCCATGCTCCCATAACCCCATGCCCCATGCCCGCATAACCCCATGCCCCCATGCTCCCATAACCCCATGCCCCATGCCCGCATAACCCCATGCCCCCATGCTCCCATAACCCCATGCCCCATGCCCGCATAACCCCATGCCCCATGCCCGCATAACCCCATGCCCCATGCCCGCATAACCCCATGCCCCATGCCCGCATAACCCCATGCCCCATGCCCGCATAACCCCATGCCCCATGCCCGCATAACCCCATGCCCCCATGCCCGCATAACCCCATGCCCCCATGCCCGCATAACCCCATGCCCCATGCCCGCATAACCCCATGCCCCATGCCCGCATAACCCCATGCCCCATGCCCGCATAACCCCATGCCCCATGCCCGCATAACCCCATGCCCCCATGCCCGCATAACCCCATGCCCCCATGCCCGCATAACCCCATGCCCCATGCCCGCATAACCCCATGCCCCATGCCCGCATAACCCCATGCCCCATGCCCGCATAACCCCATGCCCCATGCCCGCATAACCCCATGCCCCCATGCCCGCATAACCCCATGCCCCCATGCTCCCATAACCCCATGCCCCATCACCGCATAACCCCATGCCCCCATGCTCCCATAACCCCATGCCCCATGCCCGCATAACCCCATGCCCCCATGCTCCCATAACCCCATGCCCCATGCCCGCATAACCCCATGCCCCCATGCTCCCATAACCCCATGCCCCATGCCCGCATAACCCCATGCCCCATGCCCGCATAACCCCATGCCCCATGCCCGCATAACCCCATGCCCCATGCCCGCATAACCCCATGCCCCATGCCCGCATAACCCCATGCCCCATGCCCGCATAACCCCATGCCCCCATGCCCGCATAACCCCATGCCCCCATGCTCCCATAACCCCATGCCCCATCACCGCATAACCCCATGCCCCCATGCTCCCATAACCCCATGCCCCATGCCCGCATAACCCCATGCCCCCATGCTCCCATAACCCCATGCCCCATGCCCGCATAACCCCATGCCCCCATGCTCCCATAACCCCATGCCCCATGCCCGCATAACCCCATGCCCCCATGCTCCCATAACCCCATGCCCCATGCCCGCATAACCCCATGCCCCCATGCTCCCATAACCCCATGCCCCATGCCCGCATAACCCCATGCCCCATGCCCGCATAACCCCATGCCCCATGCCCGCATAACCCCATGCCCCCATGCCCGCATAACCCCATGCCCCCATGCCCGCATAACCCCATGCCCCATGCCCGCATAACCCCATGCCCCATGCCCGCATAACCCCATGCCCCCATGCCCGCATAACCCCATGCCCCCATGCCCGCATAACCCCATGCCCCCATGCCCGCATAACCCCATGCCCCCATGCCCGCATAACCCCATGCCCCCATGCCCGCATAACCCCATGCCCCCATGCCCGCATAACCCCATGCCCCCATGCCCGCATAACCCCATGCCCCCATGCCCGCATAACCCCATGCCCCCATGCCCGCATAACCCCATGCCCCCATGCCCGCATAACCCCATGCCCCCATGCCCGCATAACCCCATGCCCCCATGCCCGCATAACCCCATGCCCCATGCCCGCATAACCCCATGCCCCATGCCCGCATAACCCCATGCCCCCATGCCCGCATAACCCCATGCCCCCATGCCCGCATAACCCCATGCCCCCATGCCCGCATAACCCCATGCCCCCATGCCCGCATAACCCCATGCCCCCATGCCCGCATAACCCCATGCCCCCATGCCCGCATAACCCCATGCCCCCATGCCCGCATAACCCCATGCCCCATGCCCGCATAACCCCATGCCCCATGCCCGCATAACCCCATGCCCCATGCCCGCATAACCCCATGCCCCATGCCCGCATAACCCCATGCCCCATGCCCGCATAACCCCATGCCCCCATGCCCGCATAACCCCATGCCCCCATGCTCCCATAACCCCATGCCCCATCACCGCATAACCCCATGCCCCCATGCTACCATAACCCCATGCCCCATGCCCGCATAACCCCATGCCCCCATGCTCCCATAACCCCATGCCCCATGCCCGCATAACCCCATGCCCCCATGCTCCCATAACCCCATGCCCCATGCCCGCATAACCCCATGCCCCATGCCCGCATAACCCCATGCCCCATGCCCGCATAACCCCATGCCCCATGCCCGCATAACCCCATGCCCCATGCCCGCATAACCCCATGCCCCATGCCCGCATAACCCCATGCCCCCATGCCCGCATAACCCCATGCCCCCATGCCCGCATAACCCCATGCCCCATGCCCGCATAACCCCATGCCCCATGCCCGCATAACCCCATGCCCCATGCCCGCATAACCCCATGCCCCATGCCCGCATAACCCCATGCCCCATGCCCGCATAACCCCATGCCCCATGCCCGCATAACCCCATGCCCCCATGCCCGCATAACCCCATGCCCCCATGCTCCCATAACCCCATGCCCCATCACCGCATAACCCCATGCCCCCATGCTCCCATAACCCCATGCCCCATGCCCGCATAACCCCATGCCCCCATGCTCCCATAACCCCATGCCCCATGCCCGCATAACCCCATGCCCCCATGCTCCCATAACCCCATGCCCCATGCCCGCATAACCCCATGCCCCATGCCCGCATAACCCCATGCCCCCATGCTCCCATAACCCCATGCCCCATGCCCGCATAACCCCATGCCCCATGCCCGCATAACCCCATGCCCCATGCCCGCATAACCCCATGCCCCATGCCCGCATAACCTCATGCCCCCATGCTCCCATAACCCCATGCCCCATGCCCGCATAACCCCATGCCCCATGCCCGCATAACCCCATGCCCCCATGCCCGCATAACCCCATGCCCCCATGCCCGCATAACCCCATGCCCCCATGCCCGCATAACCCCATGCCCCCATGCCCGCATAACCCCATGCCCCCATGCCCGCATAACCCCATGCCCCCATGCCCGCATAACCCCATGCCCCCATGCCCGCATAACCCCATGCCCCATGCCCGCATAACCCCATGCCCCATGCCCGCATAACCCCATGCCCCCATGCCCGCATAACCCCATGCCCCCATGCCCGCATAACCCCATGCCCCCATGCCCGCATAACCCCATGCCCCCATGCCCGCATAACCCCATGCCCCCATGCCCGCATAACCCCATGCCCCCTGCCCGCATAACCCCATGCCCCATGCCCGCATAACCCCATGCCCCATGCCTGCATAACCCCATGCCCCCATGCCCGCATAACCCCATGCCCCCATGCTCCCATAACCCCATGCCCCATCACCGCATAACCCCATGCCCCCATGCCCGCATAACCCCATGCCCCCATGCCCGCATAACCCCATGCCCCATGCCCGCATAACCCCATGCCCCATGCCCGCATAACCCCATGCCCCCATGCCCGCATAACCCCATGCCCCATGCTCCCATAACCCCATGCCCCATGCCCGCATAACCCCATGCCCCCATGCTCCCATAACCCCATGCCCCATGCCCGCATAACCCCATGCCCCATGCCCGCATAACCCCATGCCCCCATGCTCCCATAACCCCATGCCCCATGCCCGCATAACCCCATGCCCCATGCCCGCATAACCCCATGCCCCATGCCCGCATAACCCCATGCCCCATGCCCGCATAACCCCATGCCCCATGCCCGCATAACCCCATGCCCCATGCCCGCATAACCCCATGCCCCCATGCCCGCATAACCCCATGCCCCCATGCCCGCATAACCCCATGCCCCATGCCCGCATAACCCCATGCCCCATGCCCGCATAACCCCATGCCCCATGCCCGCATAACCCCATGCCCCATGCCCGCATAACCCCATGCCCCCATGCCCGCATAACCCCATGCCCCCATGCTCCCATAACCCCATGCCCCATCACCGCATAACCCCATGCCCCCATGCTCCCATAACCCCATGCCCCATGCCCGCATAACCCCATGCCCCCATGCTCCCATAACCCCATGCCCCATGCCCGCATAACCCCATGCCCCCATGCTCCCATAACCCCATGCCCCATGCCCGCATAACCCCATGCCCCCATGCTCCCATAACCCCATGCCCCATGCCCGCATAACCCCATGCCCCATGCTCCCATAACCCCATGCCCCATGCCCGCATAACCCCATGCCCCATGCTCCCATAACCCCATGCCCCATGCCCGCATAACCCCATGCCCCCATGCTCCCATAACCCCATGCCCCATGCCCGCATAACCCCATGCCCCCATGCTCCCATAACCCCATGCCCCATGCCCGCATAACCCCATGCCCCATGCCCGCATAACCCCATGCCCCATGCCCGCATAACCCCATGCCCCCATGCCCGCATAACCCCATGCCCCCATGCTCCCATAACCCCATGCCCCATCACCGCATAACCCCATGCCCCCATGCTCCCATAACCCCATGCCCCATGCCCGCATAACCCCATGCCCCCATGCTCCCATAACCCCATGCCCCATGCCCGCATAACCCCATGCCCCATGCCCGCATAACCCCATGCCCCATGCCCGCATAACCCCATGCCCCATGCCCGCATAACCCCATGCCCCATGCCCGCATAACCCCATGCCCCATGCCCGCATAACCCCATGCCCCCATGCCCGCATAACCCCATGCCCCCATGCTCCCATAACCCCATGCCCCATCACCGCATAACCCCATGCCCCCATGCTCCCATAACCCCATGCCCCATGCCCGCATAACCCCATGCCCCCATGCTCCCATAACCCCATGCCCCATGCCCGCATAACCCCATGCCCCATGCTCCCATAACCCCATGCCCCATGCCCGCATAACCCCATGCCCCATGCTCCCATAACCCCATGCCCCATGCCCGCATAACCCCATGCCCCCATGCTCCCATAACCCCATGCCCCATGCCCGCATAACCCCATGCCCCCATGCTCCCATAACCCCATGCCCCATGCCCGCATAACCCCATGCCCCCATGCTCCCATAACCCCATGCCCCATGCCCGCATAACCCCATGCCCCCATGCTCCCATAACCCCATGCCCCATGCCCGCATAACCCCATGCCCCATGCTCCCATAACCCCATGCCCCATGCCCGCATAACCCCATGCCCCATGCTCCCATAACCCCATGCCCCATGCCCGCATAACCCCATGCCCCCATGCTCCCATAACCCCATGCCCCATGCCCGCATAACCCCATGCCCCCATGCTCCCATAACCCCATGCCCCATGCCCGCATAACCCCATGCCCCCATGCTCCCATAACCCCATGCCCCATGCCCGCATAACCCCATGCCCCATGCCCGCATAACCCCATGCCCCATGCCCGCATAACCCCATGCCCCATGCCCGCATAACCCCATGCCCCCATGCCCGCATAACCCCATGCCCCCATGCTCCCATAACCCCATGCCCCATCACCGCATAACCCCATGCCCCCATGCTCCCATAACCCCATGCCCCATGCCCGCATAACCCCATGCCCCCATGCTCCCATAACCCCATGCCCCATGCCCGCATAACCCCATGCCCCATGCTCCCATAACCCCATGCCCCATGCCCGCATAACCCCATGCCCCATGCTCCCATAACCCCATGCCCCATGCCCGCATAACCCCATGCCCCCATGCTCCCATAACCCCATGCCCCATGCCCGCATAACCCCATGCCCCATGCTCCCATAACCCCATGCCCCATGCCCGCATAACCCCATGCCCCATGCTCCCATAACCCCATGCCCCATGCCCGCATAACCCCATGCCCCATGCTCCCATAACCCCATGCCCCATGCCCGCATAACCCCATGCCCCATGCTCCCATAACCCCATGCCCCATGCCCGCATAACCCCATGCCCCATGCTCCCATAACCCCATGCCCCATGCCCGCATAACCCCATGCCCCATGCTCCCATAACCCCATGCCCCATGCCCGCATAACCCCATGCCCCCATGCTCCCATAACCCCATGCCCCATGCCCGCATAACCCCATGCCCCCATGCTCCCATAACCCCATGCCCCATGCCCGCATAACCCCATGCCCCATGCTCCCATAACCCCATGCCCCATGCCCGCATAACCCCATGCCCCATGCTCCCATAACCCCATGCCCCATGCCCGCATAACCCCATGCCCCATGCTCCCATAACCCCATGCCCCATGCCCGCATAACCCCATGCCCCCATGCTCCCATAACCCCATGCCCCATGCCCGCATAACCCCATGCCCCCATGCTCCCATAACCCCATGCCCCATGCCCGCATAACCCCATGCCCCATGCTCCCATAACCCCATGCCCCATGCCCGCATAACCCCATGCCCCATGCTCCCATAACCCCATGCCCCATGCCCGCATAACCCCATGCCCCCATGCTCCCATAACCCCATGCCCCATGCCCGCATAACCCCATGCCCCCATGCTCCCATAACCCCATGCCCCATGCCCGCATAACCCCATGCCCCATGCTCCCATAACCCCATGCCCCATGCCCGCATAACCCCATGCCCCATGCTCCCATAACCCCATGCCCCATGCCCGCATAACCCCATGCCCCATGCTCCCATAACCCCATGCCCCATGCCCGCATAACCCCATGCCCCATGCTCCCATAACCCCATGCCCCATGCCCGCATAACCCCATGCCCCATGCTCCCATACCCCCATGCCCCATGCCCGCATAACCCCATGCCCCATGCTCCCATAACCCCATGCCCCATGCCCGCATAACCCCATGCCCCCATGCTCCCATAACCCCATGCCCCATGCCCGCATAACCCCATGCCCCCATGCTCCCATAACCCCATGCCCCATGCCCGCATAACCCCATGCCCCATGCTCCCATAACCCCATGCCCCATGCCCGCATAACCCCATGCCCCATGCTCCCATAACCCCATGCCCCATGCCCGCATAACCCCATGCCCCATGCTCCCATAACCCCATGCCCCATGCCCGCATAACCCCATGCCCCATGCTCCCATAACCCCATGCCCCATGCCCGCATAACCCCATGCCCCATGCTCCCATAACCCCATGCCCCATGCCCGCATAACCCCATGCCCCATGCTCCCATGCACGGGCGGGCATCAGGGGGACTGGGAGGCTGTGACCGCCATTGCTGCTGCCCACCCTCCTTCGGCCCCTCCTTCGGCCTGCACCCATGGTATGTGAATGTACATGCATGAGTCGTGGCACATGACAGATGGGTCATGGCCACAACCTGAAACGGATACCACGTGATCATGCACATAATACATGCCCTGCACCACACGGCATGCCCCCATGACCGCCCGCCCCATGCCCCCATGCCCACCCCATGCCCCCATGCCCGCCCCATGCCCCCATGCCCGTCCCGTGCTGCCATGCCCGACCCATGGCCCCCCATGCCCCTATGGTCCCATACCTCCATATACCCCCCATGCTCCCATGCCCCCATATCCCCATGCCCCCATGCCCCCCCATGCCCCCATGCCCCCCCATGCCCCCATGTCCCATGCCCCCATGTCCCATGCCCCCATGCCCCCATGCCCCCATGCCCCCATGCCCCCATGCCCCCATGCCCCATGCCCCCATGCCCCCATGCCCCCATGCCCCCATGCCCCCATGCCCCCATGCCCCCATGCTCCCATGCCCCATGCCCCCATGCCCCCATGCCCCCATGCCCCCATGCCCCCATGCCCCCATGCCCCCATGCCCCCATGCCCCCATGCCCCCATGCCCCCATGCCCCCATGCCCCCATGCCCCCATGCCCCATGCCCCCATGCCCCCATGCCCCCATGCCCCCATGCCCCCAGGTACGTGCACTGTCGGTCGCCCCAGTGGCTGCAGCATCTGGAGGAGCGGCTCTCAGCCCATCCCCACGCGGCCATGGGCGAGGTGCGTGCTGGGTTCTGGAGGGGTAGGGGGAAGGCACATGCAGGTACGTGCACTCTCGCTCGCGAGGCACTCCATGCAGCTTCGGGAAAGAATGAATGAAAAGAAAAAGAACAAGAGGGTTGGGGAAGGAGGGAGCCTGTGAACGGGGGGCTGTTGTCAGGGCCTGTGAACGGGATAGGACCAACGGGATAGGACCAACGGGATAGGACCAACGGGATAGGACCAACGGGATAGGACCAACGGGATAGGACCAACGGGTTAGGACCAACGCGATAGGACCAACGGGATAGGACCAACGAGATAGGACCAACGGGACAGGACCAACGGGATAGGACCAACGAGATAGGACCAACGAGATAGGACCAACGGGATAGGACCAACGAGATAGGACCAACGGGATAGGACCAACGGGATAGGACCAACGGGATAGGACCAACGGGATAGGACCAACGGGATAGGACCAACAAGATAGGACCAACGGGATAGGACCAACGGGATAGGACCAACGGGATAGGACCAACGGGATAGGACCAACGGGATAGGACCAACGGGATGGGACCAACGAGATAGGACCAACGGGATAGGACCAACGGGATAGGACCAACGGGATAGGACCAACGGGATAGGACCAACGAGATAGGACCAACGGGATAGGACCAACGAGATAGGACCAACGAGATAGGACCAACGAGATAGGACCAACGGGATAGGACCAACGAGATAGGACCAACGGGATAGGACCAACGAGATAGGACCAACGGGATAGGACCAACGAGATAGGACCAACGGGATAGGACCATAGGGATAGGACCAACGGGATAGGACCATAGGACCAACGAGATAGGACCAACTGGATAGGGCCAACGAGATAGGACCAACGTGATAGGACCAACGGGATAGGACCAACGGGATAGGACCAACGGGATAGGACCAACGGGATAGGACCAACGAGATAGGACCAACGAATAGGACCAACGAGTTAGGACCAACGAGATAGGACCAACGAGATAGGACCAACGAGATAGGACCAACGGGATAGGACCAACGAGATAGGACCAACGAATAGGACCAACGAATAGGACCAACGGATAGGACCAACGCATAGGACCAACAGGATAGGACCAACGGGATAGGACCAACGAGATAAGACCAACGGGATAGGACCAACGGGATAGGACCAACGGGATAGGACCAATGGGATAGGACCAACGAGGTAGGACCAACGTGATAGGACCAACGGGATAGGACCAACGGGATAGGACCAACGAGATAGGACCAACGGGATAAGACCAACGAATAGGACCAACGAATAGGACCAACGAATAGGACCAACGGGATAGGACCAATGGGATAGGACCAACGTGATAGGACCAATGGGATAGGACCAATGGGATAGGACCAACGAGATAGGACCAACGAGATAGGACCAACGGGATAGGACCAATGAATAGGACCAACGGGATAGGACCAACGGGATAGGACCAACAGGATAGGACCAACGGGATAGGACCAACGAGATAGGACCAACGAGATAGGGCCAACGAGATAGGACCAACGGGACAGGACCAACGGGATAGGACCAACGAGATAGGACCAACGGGATAGGACCAACGAGATAGGACCAACGTGATAGGACCAAAAGGATAGGACCAACGGGATAGGACCAACGGGATAGGACCAACGAGATAGGACCAACGGGATAGGAGCAACGAATAGGACCAACGAATAGGACCAACGAATAGGACCATCGGGATAGGACCAACGGGATAGGACCAATGGGATAGGACCAACGAGATAGGACCAACGGGATAGGACCAACGTGATAGGACCAACGGGATAGGACCAACGAGATAGGACCAACGGGATAGGACCAACGAATAGGACCAACGAATAGGACCAACGAATAGGACCAACGGGATAGGACCAACGGGATAGGACCAATGGGATAGGACCAACGAGATAGGACCAACGAGATAGGACCAACGGGATAGGACCAACGAGATAGGACCAACGAGATAGGACCAACTGGATAGGGCCAACGAGATAGGACCAACGGGATAGGACCAACGGGATAGGACCAACGAGATAGGACCAACGGGATAGGACCAACGGGATAGGACCAACGAGATAGGACCAACGAGATAGGACCAACGAGATAGGACCAACTGGATAGGACCAACGGGATAGGACCAACGGGATAAGACCAACGGGATAGGACCAACGAGATAGGACCAACGGGATAGGACCAACGGGATAGGACCATAGGGATAGGACCAACGGGATAGGACCAACGGGATAGGACCAACGGGATAGGACCAACGAGATAGGACCAACGAGATAGGACCAACTGGATAGGGCCAACGAGATAGGACCAACGGGATAGGACCAACGGGATAGGACCAACGAGATAGGACCAACGGGATAGGACCAACGGGATAGGACCAACGGGATAGGACCATAGGACCAACGAGATAGGACCAACTGGATAGGGCCAACGAGATAGGACCAACGAATAGGAACAACGGATAGGACCAACGCATAGGACCAACAGGATAAGACCAACGGGATAGGACCAACGAGATAGGACCAATGGGATGAACCAACGGGATAGGACCAACGAGATAGGACCAATGGGATAGGACCAACGAGGTAGGACCAACGGGATAGGACCAACGTGATAGGACCAACGGGATAGGACCAACGAGATAGGACCAACGAATAGGACCAACGAATAGGACCAACGGGATAGGACCAACGGGATAAGACCAACGAATAGGACCAACGAATAGGACCAACGAATAGGACCAACGGGATAGGACCAACGGGATAAGACCAACGAATAGGACCAACGAATAGGACCAACGAATAGGACCAACGGGATAGGACCAACGGGATAGGACCAACGTGATAGGACCAACGGGATAGGACCAACGGGATAGGACCAACGGGATAGGACCAACGGGATAGGACCAACGGGATAGGACCAACGGGATAGGACCAACGGGATAGGACCAACGGGATAGGACCAACGAGATAGGACCAACGGGATAGGACCAACGAGATAGGACCAACGGGATAGGACCAACGGGATAGGACCAACGAATAGGACCAACGAATAGGACCAACGGGATAGGACCAACGTGATAGGACCAACGGGATAGGACCAACGGGATAGGACCAACGAGATAGGACCAACGGGATAGGACCAACGGGATAGGACCAACGAATAGGACCAACGAATAGGACCAACGAATAGGACCAACGCATAGGACCAACAGGATAGGACCAACGGGATAGGACCAACGGGATAGGACCAACGGGATAGGACCAACGGGATAAGACCAACGAATAGGACCAACGAATAGGACCAACGGGATAGGACCAACGTGATAGGACCAACGGGATAGGACCAACGGGATAGGACCAACGGGATAGGACCAACGGGATAGAACCAACGGGATAGGACCAACGGGATAGGACCAACGGGATAGGACCAACGGGATAGGACCAACGAGATAGGACCAACGGGATAGGACCAACGGGATAGGACCAACGAATAGGACCAACGAATAGGACCAACGAATAGGACCAACGCATAGGACCAACAGGATAGGACCAACGGGATAGGACCAACGAGATAGGACCAACGGGATGAACCAACGGGATAGGACCAACGGGATAGGACCAATGGGATAGGACCAACGAGATAGGACCAACTGGATAGGGCCAACGAGATAGGACCAACGGGATAGGACCAACGGGATAGGACCAACGAGATAGGACCAACGGGATAGGACCAACGAGATAGGACCAACGAGATAGGACCAACTGGATAGGGCCAACGAGATAGGACCAACGGGATAGGACCAACGGGATAGGACCAACGAGATAGGACCAACGGGATAGGACCAACGAGATAGGACCAAAGGGGTAGGACCAACGGGATAGGACCAACAGGATAGGACCAACGGGATAGGACCAACGAGATAGGACCAACGAGATAGGGCCAACGAGATAGGACCAACGGGACAGGACCAACGGGATAGGACCAACGAGATAGGACCAACGAGATAGGACCAACTGGATAGGGCCAACGAGATAGGACCAACGGGATAGGACCAACGGGATAGGACCAACGAGATAGGACCAACGGGATAGGACCAACGAGATAGGACCAACGAGATAGGACCAACTGGATAGGGCCAACGAGATAGGACCAACGGGATAGGACCAACGGGATAGGACCAACGAGATAGGACCAACGGGATAGGACCAACGGGATAGGACCAACGAGATAGGACCAACGAGATAGGACCAACGAGATAGGACCAACTGGATAAGACCAACGGGATAGGACCAACGGGATAAGACCAACGGGATAGGACCAACGAGATAGGACCAACGGGATAGGACCAACGAGATAGGACCAACGGGATAGGACCATAGGGATAGGACCAGCGGGATAGGACCATAGGACCAACTGGATAGGGCCAACGAGATAGGACCAACGTGATAGGACCAACGGGATAGGACCAACGGGATAGGACCAACGGGATAGGACCAACGGGATAGGACCAACGGGATAGGACCAACGAGATAGGACCAACGAATAGGACCAACGAGTTAGGACCAACGAGATAGGACCAACGAGATAGGACCAACGAGATAGGACCAACGGGATAGGACCAACGAGATAGGACCAACGAATAGGACCAACGAATAGGACCAACGGATAGGACCAACGCATAGGACCAACAGGATAGGACCAACGGGATAGGACCAACGAGATAGGACCAACGGGATAGGACCAACGGGATAGGACCAACGGGATAGGACCAATGGGATAGGACCAACGAGGTAGGACCAACGTGATAGGACCAACGGGATAGGACCAACGGGATAGGACCAACGAGATAGGACCAACGGGATAAGACCAACGAATAGGACCAACGAATAGGACCAACGAATAGGACCAACGGGATAGGACCAATGGGATAGGA